TTTGAAGGCATCTGCTTGATTTGTAGACTTTGTTGTATCTTTGTCCCTGTTGTTCCTGTTTCCAAACTTCTTTGGTTTGTAAACTGTCTGAGGGGTATCTGTGCCTTCCTGCTTTCTAGCTTCAAGGTAATTATCAGCCAGTTTAACAACATCTTCGGAAGTTTTTGGATCATGTTCCTTTACCCACAGTTGAACATCACTTGGTAATGTGCTGACAAGTTGTTCCTTGATGATCAAATCGCCTAAGTCTTCTATTGTAGTTGCATCTTTAGACCACTTGTTGAATACATCGGCCAAACGTACTGCAAAGGCTTTTATACCTTCATCTTCAGTTCGTTTAAGACCTCTGAAACGGATTCTGTACGCCTCTTCATTGATGGAGTACCGCTTCAGTATAGCTGCTTTTACTGTTTCGTAGTTCATGGCATCTTCTGCGTTGAGACTAACATATGCAGCTTGGGCCTTCCCAGATAGTGCTGGAGCAAGTTTCAAAGTCCAATGTTCAAGTTTCCAATTGCACATTGTGGCTGTTCTCTCGAAAACTGTTAAGAAGTCCTCAATATCATCCGCATCCTTAAGTTTTGTGATGAATGGGTCTTTAGGTCGTTTTCCTTCTTGTTCTTTGTCTTTTCTTAATTGTTCTATGAGTTTCCTTTGATCCTCACGTTCTTGTTGTCTTTCTTTAGCCCTTATTTCTTCAAGGCGTCTTCTTTCTTCACGTTCCTGTTTTATTTCTTCAAGGCGAGCCCTCTCCATGTCCCGGAGTCTTCGCTCAGTTGCTTCATTGTTCTTAAGGAACATGTCCATCATGAGCTGCATCATCCTAGTGGTATCTGTTCCTTGTTGAACACCAAGTCCTTCCATCTTTGGTTGGGCATCTGGATCTTGCATCATGTATGGATATTTCATCTTAGTTGGATCTTCCATCTTGGTCAGATCATCATCATCACAGTGGAAATCCTCAGATTCCGCCATGGCTTCTTTAAAAGGTTCTTCTTTTCTTTGAGCTCCTTGTGGCTGGTCCTTATGCTTTCTATCTTTACCTTGATCAGGCTTTTCAGAGTATGTGTTAGCTCTAGTATCTATAGGCATAATCACTAACTTAACATTATACTATCAGTAATGGCTAAGTGCTTTTAGCAAGATCTGTTAAATCTAATGTTACTGTAATGCTAACCTACACATTGATAATATATAACCTAAATATGACAATGTTGTAAACAATTGCAAGTGTAAATTATTTTGCTTATGAATATTCAATTAGAATTTTGTTGTAAACCTAATGTAGTTAACTATTTATTAACACAATATATGTGTGCTAAGTTCTAAATATGATAGCAAATTTATGTAATGCTGTTATTTGCAATTATTTACTATGATAATTCACCTATGATTTACCAATTGATGGATATTCACCAATGATGAACCAATAAAATGCACTGTCGCTAATTGCTTGCTTGCTTGCTAATTGATTATTCACCACTAGTCTAATCTAAAATAACAGTGAAAATTAAACCATCTTACTCTATAAATGTTTGTAAAATTAACTATCTTACTTTAGCAATGATAGCAGATAAATAGCTAAGTTGAAAGTTTTGCTAGTTTCACTTCAGGTGCTGTACTTCAGTAACTGTTTGTTTACCTTTTGGTCAGCTTGACCTTATTGCCTTATATGGGTTTGTGTCAACAAAAACTAGGCATACACTTAATTCACTCACTGAGTCAACTTGACCTTGCACAAATGCATTCAGATTTATGTGTGCAAAATTGAGAGCTAACTATCCTAACTCCTCTTTTGTTTTAACCATGTAATCTAACCTAGCCTATTGTTGCATGACTACTGATTGGCTATCTAGCTAATAATACCTTCCATATAAAACACTTGTATACACTCTACATGTGAAAAACTTTCTATGCTAAATTCTTATCCTACTTTCAAATTGAAAAACTCTGTACTAATAAAATGTGTACTTCAAGAAAAAAGCTTTCCAAATTACATGTAAATGCATATGAAATTGCAAATGTGTGATTTTCCAATGTTGTTCCAAACTTTGCTATCGAATTTGCCACTGTTTGCCTTATTGTAAAAATCTATGCTACTGTGCAGTGAACTGATTTTTCAAAATATTGCTAGAACTTCAGTTTTCATTTTCAGGATTTGCCTTATGTGACTTCTGTAACTCTCCTTTTACTCTGAATTTCTTAGGCTTGCTTCTTAGTTTCTTAGAAAAGTTCTTTCTGATCTGCTTCAGATCTTGAATCTTAGGTCTTGAATAAAGTTCTTTGTCTTGAGTTCACATCAAAGTCTCTAGCTCTTCATGGAATTTTCCTAACAAAATAGCAATTATATTACCTCGTCCTTATTGCTTGTGTAGCGCTTGAAGCGTGGTTCTTGTCGTTTGCCGCCACCATGTAATGTTGTTATTATCTTGTTTATACTACCTTGTCGCACCTATCTTGGGTTCTGGACGTTATGACGAGGGGCCCCTTTGATGCTGTTGCTAGGTCTGACAGTTGTCGCTTATTTCGGTCTCTTATTTGGTTCTTGGATCATTTGTATAACGTTATGTTCTTATTTCTTATTTTACATCTTCACATAATATTTACATCTGGATGCTTTGACTTCTCTTTGTGAACTAACTGTTCTTTTCAAAAACATAATTGGCTTCTCTGATTGCACTTTTCAGTTTTGAGTCTAGTTTAGTATACTCTAGTGCCATCTTTTGATCAACTTTAAAACTTTTAGTTCCATATACATTACAGGGTAGCTGCCACAGCTAAGTTGTAGTGGCTGACGCCTTTGGCTCGAGCGGTAGAACATAGCAGAGGGTCCTGAGAGAGTCAGCATAAATCATTATTTGGTTATATTTGGGTCACAAGTTTAGCAATATCAGGAATCATTGTGTCAAGTTCAGTTTATATTATCACAGACAAAACAAGTGATGCCTCGCTAATTGCATGGGAACTTATGTCATAAAACGAACATACAATAAGTTTGACAGTGTAACAAAACATATTTCAAATTGTAGGTGCTATTTAAACATTTACAAACACTGAGCTAGAAACTTGACTAAGTCGGATCTCTAGCTAGTGCTTACGATAGCCTGGTAATTACAGATAAGATCAATATAATAGACACACCTGTTAAAAAGTGATGCTGCAACATTTCCATTCAACTCAGATTCTTATATAACCCAGTCAGAAATAAATAAATGATTCCTCAGAAAAATGAACAGAAAGTTATACATGTACATATAAAACACCATTAGAACCATTAGAACTTTCACTGAAAGTTATACAGATAAAACACCATTAGAATATGAACTTGGTTCAATAATGGCAAAAGAAGAACATAATGATAACCCTTACGTGATAAGATTTTGCACCATTGAATCAAACATTGATGATTTAGATTAGAAACCAATAAAAGTTATACAATTAATTAACAACTTATGATAATCAGAGGAATATATCTCAAAGGATATTAAAAACCAACGAGGGTCTAGCTCACCTTGGCTACGCTAGATATAGACATTATACATACAGGTAATACCTTATTGGCTATTGGCTAACAGAAATTGGAAACCCCCATTGAGTTGCAGAAGTGGGCTAGGACTAATCATTCAGGATTAATCAACTAAGAAGATTTGTGAAAAGTTTGTTGCTCTATGATCTTATTAAATATTTGGTTTCAAATTTCGGTTCTTAACTGTTATGTTAAAAAACATGGAGGTTAGGCAACAGTCATTTTTACCTTCTTTCCCGCTAAATTGAGTTACCATCTTTAGGGTTAGTAATTAGAGTCAAAATTATAGGAATTTGTACCTGCTTCTTAATACTGTGCTTTCATTAACGCCGTCCCATAATGGAGAGGACCCGGTTTTTATTATAGGGACCCCAAACAATGAAAATGAGGGGTCACTTGGACGCAGTTCAGGTCATATCAAAAAATCATCTCTGGATGAATGGATTGATAAAGATCTTACCTTCAGTCTTTTATTTGGTCAAAATCCGCTAAATAAACGAAGGATATTCTATTTCTAAAAGAAATAGAATTATCTTTTGGACTTTCTTTCCCGGAAGTTGATTTCCGATCAATATAGTATGAGGTATGTGATAGGACAATCACTAGTAGTTGATTTCTGAGCGGTAATCGGTACGAGTCCTATGATTGGCCGTGATTATTAATCGCGCATGCGTCTTGATAATTTTGACTAATCAAATTGCTGGATTTGTTGCGCATGCGCAAGAAACTGAACCAAAGAATTGAACCTCACAGAGATTGCTCCTAATGAAACTTTCTGAGCGATCAAAATCAATAGCAAATTGCTTTGAAATACGCGAAGAAAAACGGTATTTAATGGTTGAATATTAGTAACCTCTTTCAAATGAAGGTATCTGCATCATTTAATGACCTACAAGACGTGTGCAGAACACTGATCTGGGCCAAAAAATAACAAAACTGATGCAAACGTTTCATCAATTTTTTTTCGTTCAGTGCAAAAATGTGACATTGAATTCCCGGGAACCTTTTTTCATGCGGACGCACTTTTTTGAGGGGGGACGCAATTTTGGAAAATCAATCCGCCCAGGGACGCACTTTTGGACAATCCTACTGAAAGCACTGTAATACCATGCTAAATTAAGTAACAAGAAATGCTGAAGTTGTAATCATGTGATCTGTGTAATCTGTAACAAATGGCAGGTGATGATATTATGCTAGAGTTATTATAATTTTGCAGTGAAACTACTAATAAAATAAAATATGTTTTCGAGTCATACTTTGCTGCTCAGAATTGCACTTTTACTATGATACAAAAATGTCATCACCTTGTAAGGTATTGCAAAATGTTACAGACATTAAACTCCAAACACCAACCACTTCTGGAGGTGACATGAATACCAAACATGAACCAATTTACTCAAGATGAAAAGAATGCAGCAATTTAAGTGTTTTGTTGTAGTTTGCTAATTTTCAAAATGTTTTTTTTCAATTTCAGGACATAATGCACTGAAAAAAGTTCTTTCCCTACACATTCTCTACTACATCACAAATAGACAACATATTGCCACGGAAGCTGTGACAACCAGCTTGGAATGAGTAGTAGCTTTGTCTTAGTACCTCCAAGAATGGCACAGGCCTGCAAGGTATGTACAGCTATAATAAACAAATAAATAAATAAAAATTAAAGCATGCTTCAGATTTAATTATCCCATCGAACGAAGTTCGGAGGGATATAGGGAACGCCTCCGTCCGTCCGTCCATCTATCCGTCCGTCTGTCCGGGCAATTACTCAAATACCGTTGGCCTGATTTTGTTCATATTTTGTACACATATAGCCAATGGGGGTAGGAGTTCTGCTCGGAAACCGATTTTCAAAATGGCCGCTCATTTAAAAATGGTGGCCATTTTAGTGCCGATTTTACAGTAATCTAGGTACTGCATATAAAACTGTAATAGCAATATGTTTTAAATGTAAAAAAGTTATATAGGACATTGATTAAGCTAGAAATGTAAATACAGAAGAAATACATGGCAGCCATCTTGAAAAATGGCTGCCTTTGCATGTCATTTTATGATTTTTGCTGTAACTTGAAAAGTAGTGGAGTGGTTTTGTTCATATTTGGTATGTGAATACTTTAAGCATGGCACAATGTCTAATATCCCAGATGCGAGTAGAAATAATCTTGATTTACGTCATTAAAAATCCACAATTCAGTCAAACTGATGTCATATTTGGAATCTACATGTAAAATTACATTTAGAAATGTGGTTTTGAAAAGAGTTTATCAACTTTGAAAATTTAATTTTCTTTGAAAATGTGATTTCTAGGTCACAAAAAGTGAAATATCTTTTCCTGTGTTGGGCAGATAATATTTTCTTTTACTGGACATATTTTAATTTGTATAACTATCAGATACATAAGGGTTATATGAAAAGTGAACCACTAAAACTGATGCATATTCAAGTTTAAGGGAATTTTGTAATACCCTGCCATGTTAATTCCCCCGAATCAGCCACCTGGTGGCGAAACTGGCAACTACCTACTCGCATCTGAGTAATTACATTTTTACGTGTGTTATTTAACATTTTTTACTGTAAGTCAAAAAGTAGTGTAGCGATTTTGTTCATATTTGGTATGTGAATACTTTAGGCATGGCATGGTCTAATGACATTTTGGGTAGTAGGTGGCCATTTTTAGGTGTGTTATTTTACATTTTTTACTATAACTCAAAAAGTAGGAGAGCGATTTTGTTCATATTTTATTTGTGAATACTATAAGCATGGCACACTGTCTAATGACACTTTGGGTAGTAGGCAGCCATTTTTAAAAATGGCCACCATTTTATACGTTTTTTACTATAACTTGAAAAGTAGTGGAGCTATTTTGTTCATATTTGGTATGTGAATACTTATGAACCTTGCACACTGTCTCATGACACTTCGCATAGTAGGTTGTCATTTTAAAAAATGGCTGTCATTTTTACATTTTTTACTATAACTCGAAAAGTATTGGAGCGATTTTGTTCATATTTGATATGTGAATACTCTAAGCATGGCACATTGTCTAATAAAACTTTGGGGAGTAGTTGGTCATTTCGAAAAATGGCCACCATTTTTATGTGTTTTATTTTACATTTTTTATTATACTTCAAAAAGTAATAGAGCGAGCATTTACATGTATGTGTGTGCGATTTTTTTAAAATTTTATATGTGGCTACTTAAAAGCATATTACTTCTGATGACAACTTGGCAAGTGAGCAACCATTTTGAAAATGGTTGCCTTTCTTATGGATATTATTTTACAATATTTGCTATATATTTTGTTTGTAAAAATGCCAGCCATTTCTGTTCGATGGGATTCGCTACGCTTTGGCGTTGCCGTTGTTCTGGTTTGTAAATATGTTGATTCATCTATTTACATTTTATTTTTTCAAATCAAAAAACTTCAATTTTTCAGTTTATCATAATATTATCATCTTTGAGATTATTTCTCTTGAGTTTGTCATGAATTCTTAATAACATACGATAATATCATCACCTTGTAAGGTATTGCAAAATGTTACAGACATTAAACTCCAAACACCAACCACTTCTGGAGGTGACATGAATACCAAACATGAACCAATTTACTCAAGATGAAAAGAATGCAGCAATTTAAGTGTTTTGTTGTAGTTTGCTAATTTTCAAAATGTTTTTTTTCAATTTCAGGACATAATGCACTGAAAAAAGTTCTTTCCCTACACATTCTCTACTACATCACAAATAGACAACATATTGCCACGGAAGCTGTGACAACCAGCTTGGAATGAGTAGTAGCTTTGTCTTAGTACCTCCAAGAATGGCACAGGCCTGCAAGGTATGTACAGCTATAATAAACAAATAAATAAATAAAAATTAAAGCATGCTTCAGATTTAATTATCCCATCGAACGAAGTTCGGAGGGATATAGGGAACGCCTCCGTCCGTCCGTCCATCTATCCGTCCGTCTGTCCGGGCAATTACTCAATTACCGTTGGCCTGATTTTGTTCATATTTTGTACACATATAGCCAATGGGGGTAGGAGTTCTGCTCGGAAACCGATTTTCAAAATGGCCGCTCATTTAAAAATGGTGGCCATTTTAGTGCCGATTTTACAGTAATCTAGGTACTGCATATAAAACTGTAATAGCAATATGTTTTAAATGTAAAAAAGTTATATAGGACATTGATTAAGCTAGAAATGTAAATACAGAAGAAATACATGGCAGCCATCTTGAAAAATGGCTGCCTTTGCATGTCATTTTATGATTTTTGCTGTAACTTGAAAAGTAGTGGAGTGGTTTTGTTCATATTTGGTATGTGAATACTTTAAGCATGGCACAATGTCTAATATCCCAGATGCGAGTAGAAATAATCTTGATTTACGTCATTAAAAATCCACAATTCAGTCAAACTGATGTCATATTTGGAATCTACATGTAAAATTACATTTAGAAATGTGGTTTTGAAAAGAGTTTATCAACTTTGAAAATTTAATTTTCTTTGAAAATGTGATTTCTAGGTCACAAAAAGTGAAATATCTTTTCCTGTGTTGGGCAGATAATATTTTCTTTTACTGGACATATTTTAATTTGTATAACTATCAGATACATAAGGGTTATATGAAAAGTGAACCACTAAAACTGATGCATATTCAAGTTTAAGGGAATTTTGTAATACCCTGCCATGTTAATTCCCCCGAATCAGCCACCTGGTGGCGAAACTGGCAACTACCTACTCGCATCTGAGTAATTACATTTTTACGTGTGTTATTTAACATTTTTTACTGTAAGTCAAAAAGTAGTGTAGCGATTTTGTTCATATTTGGTATGTGAATACTTTAAGCATGGCCCAATGTCTAATGACATTTTGGGTAGTAGGTGGCCATTTTTAGGTGTGTTATTTTACATTTTTTACTATAACTCAAAAAGTAGGAGAGCGATTTTGTTCATATTTTATTTGTGAATACTATAAGCATGGCACACTGTCTAATGACACTTTGGGTAGTAGGCAGCCATTTTTAAAAATGGCCACCATTTTATACGTTTTTTACTATAACTTGAAAAGTAGTGGAGCTATTTTGTTCATATTTGGTATGTGAATACTTATGAACCTTGCACACTGTCTCATGACACTTCGCATAGTAGGTTGTCATTTTAAAAAATGGCTGTCATTTTTACATTTTTTACTATAACTCGAAAAGTATTGGAGCGATTTTGTTCATATTTGATATGTGAATACTCTAAGCATGGCACATTGTCTAATAAAACTTTGGGGAGTAGTTGGTCATTTCGAAAAATGGCCACCATTTTTATGTGTTTTATTTTACATTTTTTATTATACTTCAAAAAGCAATAGAGCGAGCATTTACATGTATGTGTGTGCGATTTTTTTAAAATTTTATATGTGGCTACTTAAAAGCATATTACTTCTGATGACAACTTGGCAAGTGAGCAACCATTTTGAAAATGGTTGCCTTTCTTATGGATATTATTTTACAATATTTGCTATATATTTTGTTTGTAAAAATGCCAGCCATTTCTGTTCGATGGGATTCGCTACGCTTTGGCGTTGCCGTTGTTCTGGTTTGTAAATATGTTGATTCATCTATTTACATTTTATTTTTTCAAATCAAAAAACTTCAATTTTTCAGTTTATCATAATATTATCATCTTTGAGATTATTTCTCTTGAGTTTGTCATGAATTCTTAATAACCCCAAAAGTGACCGTGATAATCTCTAAATATATTACAGAACATGTTGAATTCAAGAGTTATAAACATAGTATGCAATACAGTATTATCTGCAATAGAATGTACCTCTCAAAACAACTTCATATCACTTTGGACCAATCTTAGTTCTATTTTATTCATTTATTTAAGCTCACTTGAAACTTACTTCAAGTTCCAAAATTTACATTAGGGGGGGGGGTAAACTCAAGATATAGTATGTGACAATGATAAGCCACAAAGTACTAAATGAATTGCTTGAACTTTTCCCTTGCTAAACTAATTAGACCACAACATAAGGTGAGCATTTTAGGATCATCATTGATCATTCTGCTGAGTTCACTTACATATACCCATGCCATAGCTATGATACTGTAGGCAAAACCACAGTATCATGAGGTCTGATTAGTGCCCTCAATTTTCAAATATTTGTGTAAAGTCTTAGTCACATTTGCTCTACTGTAGCTGTAGCTTCAAAAATGGATATAGAAAATCTACATCATGCTGCTTATCCCTATATTTTATGCTGCATATTTCTCTCGATTTTGGGAAGCTACGGCTGCCGTATAATTGCTGCAGATCAAATGTGACTGAGGCATAAGTCACAACTGCTTTACTTTATATATGAATCTCATATGAGTTTCTTCTACTGGAATACTTTTCATTTGTAATGTATGTTTTGTTGTTAATATTCTCATTATGTGTTTTTAGGAATGTGGCTGCAACTGTAGCGCTTGTTCTGTAGCAGATAATAGGTGAGTTACTATGACAACATATATAACAACACAATTACGTAATCGATATCACACATTATTGTTATTGCCACATCACAATGATTAGTAACACTATACAATGGCAGTCACTCGGATTATTTCAGGAAAACCATTTAGAAGGATTCAAAGTGTTAACACTACATGTCATGAATAGAAGGTGTCTAGACTGTCTGACATTTTTGACACGCATTGTAAATCTAAATGATATAAATCAATAGTAGTATTTTCAACTGAATCTTGATATATATGAAACATGTTCATGAGCACATTCACTTTGATCAGCTATGCTGATGCTGTGTAATACATGTACAGTATACTTCAAGATGTCATAACTGATTGGTCATCTTATTCAAAAAAGAAGTCTTTAAAATTATTCCTTGAATCAGATAGTCTTGAATCAAACTTCTTCTCTCCCCCAATCTATTTCTCCAACAAGATCTGGTGCACCTGTGGGAACAAACAAAATTTTAGGTCCTTATTTGTTTTCATTTTGAAAATTGGCCTTTTCAGCCTCATAATCAAAGTTATTCTGTTCCAAAAATGTTATATGAGCCTCTATAAGTGGAACACTTCCCAAGTGGAACACTTTTTAGAGGTACCAAAGGTGTTCCACTTAGACAGGTTTTACTGTATATGGATCCATCCACCCTACTAGACAAGACTTTTGAGCATTTGAGGGGGTAATGCAGGGGTTTAATGCAAGACTTCATTTCTGATTAATTTAATCAATAAATAAATGGTTGATAAAATATAAGTCAGTAGTACAATGTATTGTCAAAACCTGATAGTCTGGTATCAGCTATGTGTATAGTTTGCTAGCTGGTTTGTTATGTCACCACTAGAAGTGGTGACATATTGTTCAAGTCTCCAACTTTTTTTGGGAAAGTGTTCGGTGCCTTAAACAGTGTTCGATGACTGAAGCTGCGTTCGTTGGCCTGCGTCTATATCAAATGGCAGGTTTTGACATTTTGCATGTTAATGCCTTGTTTTATAGATTGTCTGATTTCCATATACATGAGTACTATAGGGATCTTTCAGGGAAAAAACAGGGGCTTGGTGGACACATGGTCAAAATGAAAAGACATATACTGCATGTGGCCTATTGTCTTGATAAAAATTTCCAAAAATCAAAAGTCCTACACTTTGCGTTAAATCACTCAAAATGCAATTTAGTTGTGAATAAATTATACATTTATTTATTTTAACTTTTTGCATGATCTTCATTTTTTAAGATTTATATAATTTTTTTCACTTAGTTTCATTTAGATGTTTCAAATCTCACCAAAACCCTTATATAATCCCGAGAGCCCAGTGCCTTTTGTAATAGCTACATACAATTTGATCATGTCCTTGGTAGGAGGTTAGAATATATAGAAAATTATATGTACTTGTTCAGTGACTAAAATGTTTTAAAATTCTGACTTTTTATTCATTTATTAGGAGGTGAGTACTATGGAGAAGGTGGGGTTCATTTTGACTCTTTAAAAGGAATATAGCCTTGCTTCAAGCCCTGGTGCCCCCCCCTCCCCTAAAAATAACAGGCCATTATGTATATGGGGGAGGGGGTCAGAGGCTTATTGCAAGACTAAATGGATAACTTTTATATTGAAGAATTTAACACAGATTTTGTCTTGTGTCAATCCCTTCTGCTCCACCATTATCTCTTTTATTATAATGAGTGAGGAAATGCACAATGGGGATGTGTGACCAAAAACTTGATAGTAGACTTCACTGATTTTGGACTGAGGTTAGGAGGTTTTAAACACAAAGGTGAAGGGTGGAGGAACTCACAGAAAATATTGCCTTTGTTTCTCACAGGTTAATTTAAACAATTTTCATTTCAGTGTTTTTATAGAACAACTAGTCACTAACTAACTTTTTAATAGAAATTTTTTTATCTTTTTGGTAGATAAAAGTAACTTATTATCATTTGTATCTTTCTAAAAAATCTCCCCATCTACAGAATCCACTAAATGCTTCTGGAGGAAAATTGGGAACACTTGCTCAGGAATGATGTTCAATTATCAAGAGTTCTGGAATAATGACGTTATATAGGAGGTGATATACAGCTTGTGCTGAATAGTGTTTTTTATGACCGTCAGAAGTGGTGATACATTGTTTAAGTCTCCAACTTTTTTTTGGATGGTGTTTGGCGGTTGGTAGTTGGCATCTGTAACAAATTGCAGTTGGCAACATTTTGCATGTTAATGCCTTGGGTAATATATTCAAGTGAAAGACAAATCAGAATTTTACAATTTCATTAGATTAGAGGAGGAGGGTCAAAGCATAATGAAATTAACTTCGTTTTTCCACTGTTGATAATTGGACAAAATCCCTACCTATTAACTTTACATTCGATATTTGGTATATAATATTTTAAGAGCAATTTCGATGTTCAGTGCACTGAATGTTAACAGTTTATGGTATGGGATATGAGGTATAATTATGAGGTATCAAATTCTAATATTCTGCTAAGTGGATATTTTATCTAATCCTATTCTACATGTACTAATAAATAGATATAACAGCATGCATGCATAATTAATGAAATATAACAAATATTGAAGCGCAGGTATCATAAGGGAAATTCCCCCACCATACAGGAATCAATATAACAAACAAAACCATAAGACCACGGGGCATATCATGGTTCAGTGTAATTTTTTTTATAAAAAGTGATAATTTCCTCAAACTTACACTTATATACCAACTAGATACAAACAACATGTTTTATTACATCATTCGAACATGACTGTATTCATGCCTTCCCTAAACTGTGAACAAAGTCAATATTTCACCCAGGGTATATTCACGAACAATACTCCTTGTAATACGAGTCATGTGTGATGTCATAAATGACCGGCCGTAGTAATGGCGGACCATTAAATGAATATTCGAAATATTTTGGTGAGTTTTCATATTCGAATCGTAATATAGACCTCAGAGCACAAAAGCTTTGGAACACCTCACTCCCTTCGGTTGTTTCGGGGTACCCCTGCTCTTCGGTCTATATTTCTTAATTATACGGTAGTACTTGTTTATTCCATTCTTTTCTATCCTTTGAACATACATACCTACCATAATGATTTATCAATTGTTATAATTATAATTGATTAAATCATTGAGATAATCGAATTCTCATCAATATCTATTCAGATTTCAGAAATTACTGGAATTCTACTAATCTTGTGTTCAATAATTGTTCATGAGTCACATTCTATTAATCCCCTACTGTTATAACTTACATCAGATGATATTTTTCCAGCGTGAATTTGAGATATAAAAACATTCGATGAAATATTCCATTACATAAGACAACAATTTCTTACAAATAGCAATGTCATTTGTCATTATAGATCCGATTGAAGAATTTAACTGATTAGCGGCTGTCACGTCTTTGTAATTATCTCTAAATTGCACACTTGAATTATGTGAAAATCTTGCATGTGTTACGGTTATTGGAAACTGCCTGTAGTAAGTTGCAGTAAATCAGTTCTATTCATTGATTCCACCTTTCTAAATAATTACCAGTATTTATTCTTTAATTACTCATTTTTCTCTTTTCTCTAAATTCCTTAAATTTTTGAATTATCATACTAGAATTATATGTGGTTTACCTTCATAAATGTTCATATTATTCCTAAATAATTTCGCCATTTTTGCTGAATTACTCAAAATGCTGTATGATTTATTGTAAGGGATTCTGCCCAGCAAAACATAGATATCATTGCAGCTATTAAAATCATTGAAACTGTTCAGTGCGCTTTTGTCTTTATAACTTGAATCATCCACGACGGATGCAATCATTTTGAGGATTTTTATTGTCGAAGTGTGATCTATCAAAATAAGATATAATTTATTTGACAAAGGAGGAGTTGAATTGCGGTATCACTTTTGGGAATTTGAAAGGATTATTGATATTAGTATGCATATGCTTGGAAAAATAAGCTCTGATGAGGATGATAATGTTCCGTAAGTACAAAACCACAGAATGATTTATATCAGTGTTCTTTAAGGACATTTTAACCTTAGTAGGGTCTAGCATTCGTTTTTTGTGGGAAAATTGGTTCAATTTGACAGAAATCACTGATTATGTATATAGCAATCAGTTTTTGAGGGAAAATTGATTCAGTTTGACGGAAATAACTGGTTATGTGTGTAGCGATCAGTTTTTGAGGGAAAATTGGTTCAATTTGGTAGAAATCACTTGTTATGTTTTCAGTTTGGTGGAAATCACTGGTTATGTTTTCAGTTTGGTGGAAATCACTGGTTATGTTTTCAATTTGGTGGAAATCACTGGTTATGTTTTCAATTTGGTGGAAATCACTGGTTATGTTTTCAGTTTGGTGGAAATCACTGGTTATGTTTTCAGTTTGGTGGAAATCACTTGTTATGTTTTCAGTTTGGTGGAAATCACTGGTTATGTTTTCAATTTGGTGGAAATCACTGGTTATGTTTTCAGTTTGGTGGAAATCACTGGTTATGTTTTCAATTTGGTGGAAATCACTGGTTATGTTTTCAGTTTGGTGGAAATCACTGGTTATGTTTTCAGTTTGGTGGAAATCACTGGTTATGTTTTCAGTTTGGTGGAAATCACTGGTTATGTTTTCAGTTTGGTGGAAATCACTGGTTATGTTTTCAATTTGGTGGAAATCACTGGTATGTTATCTTTGCATCAGGCCCCTGTGTTTGTTCCTCTTTCCCATTTTGAATACGGGTTAAGAAAAAATGGTACTAGTAGACTATAGGGGCAACCAACGATTGCAGAGGCATAATGCTTAATTTTGTACATGTACATGTTTTCATGAACATTACTTAAGTAAATTGAATATAACAAGGAAACTACTTTTACACCAGAATCGGTGCCTATCTAATTGCCATTATCAAGAGAAAATAGGATAGAATCTTGTATTAAAACCTAATTTACCATGTACAATTATCATGGCTTTTTATCATTGTATGTTAAGCCTAAAAGAAGATGAAAGAAGCAATTCCTGCTTGAATTAATGGTTACTCAATGTTATTTTCCATTTCAAAATATTCCTAATTGACCTTATGATTTTGGTTTGCAGCCTTGACCTTCACCATAGGATAGAGGAACTCACTCAACAGTTGAGAACAGCCAATAGTCACATGTCACAGATGCAGCAGGATTTTGACAAAAGCCGAGCATACACAGATTACGAGGTATCCAAGGTTCAAGACGACCTGACAAAGTTACGAGATCGTTATGACAGGTTAGCTCATTTTACATTAGCCTTCGCTTGAATAATCAATGTTGTCTCAAGCTCTTTAGTCTTTACATTATCAATTAACCTATAGCTCACCGAGTCAAGAAGAACTTGTCATCACCCGAAGATGGTTTATCATTATACACATAATTTACCCTTTATTTAGATTTTGACTTCTAATCTCCAAAGGGAGCATCATCAGGAGTTTAGCTTAGGTTCTGAGAGCAGCTGGTCAAAATGACATTACGGACCAGTTACTGTGTTATTTTCCGACTGAAAGAATGAGCTGGTCCGTATCAAAAGTGACCTACCAAATGACCAGTGGACCGGCCCTTAGCTCAGGACCTGAGCATTGTAGAATGTTACCATTCTGATTTATCAGACTCCCTCTTTATCTAATGCTTGAGTTAGAACTCCAAGGGATAGTTCAGGTTGTGGACCCTATAATGGAATTTCACCAGTGACCTTTATACTTTATTTGGGGTAGGAAATGATCAATGTACATGTAGCTCTGTCATGCTCTGTTTGGTTTAACACCCATCTATAAAGAAAGCAATTAGTCGCACCCAGAAGGTAGTGCATTATAGGCATCAAGATCGGGATAGTCTTGCAGGCTTTTAGTGAGATTAATCATCTGAAACAGGCTGAATTATCTGTTTGCAGAGTATGTTGCATCTACCTAGAGATCATATTCAGTTATTGTATCACTATGACAACCAATTTTACTTTCATTTATTTAACTCTTGCTAATGAACTTGAAAAAGGGATTGTAATGTACATTACTTTTTCATATAGGCCTATTAATTTCTGGTGTGGAAGTTTAATGAAAAATATTAACCGTATGACAAATTTTGTAATTTCTTTGTAGATTTCAAAAATTGTAATATCTTCAATTCATCAGTAGTATTACTGGATTTCTTAGGTATTGATAAACACAATTTACTGTATATGTAATTCAATATTCTATGAATGATAACAGTTTGATTGATGAAGTAAATACTTCATTATACGTCATGATGTCGCACAATTCATCATGTCCTTTTCAATAAGTTCTTTAATACCAGCTAGAATTTTCAGGAAAGGGTGCCTGGCATTTTGTTGATTATATCCTAAAATGAAAGTGATAGCAATTCTCTTTGTGCATTCTATATGCTACATGGCTATTTTTCAGAATAATTGGATAACTCCCAAAATAATTGTGTCCTAATTCAAACCAGGCCTCCAGCCTCAGTTACAAGTTCATATGATTTATAATTTACATTGTAATATGCACACCAACATAAGAGGGGGTCTAGTAAATCCGAATGTATATCTGGAATTAACAGCAGGGCGATGGTTATGATCATAAGATTCCAAAAGTACATAAGACATATATTTTCAGTAATACCAAAAATCCTCAACTTTTTGATAATGTGGACCTTTATGGCTACTTTACTGCTAAATATTTGGATTCAAAATTGTGGCATGAATGTAACCTATCATTCTTTCTTTATGATATTTTATCTTTAAAATGATATATAACACATACTATAAGACTGGGTACTATATTTGCAGATGTAAGATATGTATCACCATGACTTCAACTGAGCTATTCACTAATGGCTTTAATAATGTAACTGAAAACCATTTTTTCTTATTTGGCAATGCAGGAGTTAATTGGAAAGATGGCAAATCAATATCTTCTCGTATAGAATGACAGAATAAACTTTCTTCTTGAAAAGGCAATTTACTTATTATTTGTTAGTATTAGTTCTTGATGGAATGTTAACCATTATTACCCTAAAATAACCCTAAATTACCCTAAAAATAATGAATATGGAGTATTCTTTAAGAATATTTTTTTCTGTTTGCTATTTGATCATTTATTTTTTGAAACATTATTTTTACATATATTTCCTTGTACATGTATATTAGGAATTATTTTATGGCTCTAATACTTATAGTTTTTGGGCACTTTTTGACTTTTTATTCTGTCCAGTGATATAAATTAAAATTTAAGTCTTTGGTAGTCGGGAGAATAGAATCCAATGGAGTATATTTGGCGAAATCCACCGTATCAAAGAATGGTGTCCAAAAGTCCAGAAGTTTTGGAAGAACTAAATTTATTTTATAAGGGTGAGGGGTAAACAATTTTTGTCTCCAAGAATGTAAATAATATAATGCCTGTTCATCTATAGTAGAGATAAAATCAGAAGCCAAACAATACATATAATTCATGTGAAACATTTATTGATGTGTATATCAAATGTAAGAGGTGTTCTCTAGACTAAAAGCATGGGAATGCTTTCGACTTCCAGCTTTTACGCTGCTAATTGATGAGCACAAAACGCTGTATCTTTTATTATTCTATAATAAAACTGGAATCAAGTAAAGGACAAATTCACATTTTCGTGATAGAGGGGGGGGGGGGGGGTTAAGCCATAATGAAATTGACTTTTGTTTTTCTACGGCTGTATTATAATTGGACATCATTCCCATCGTCTTTGTTGCAGTTCTAATACATGATGAACATTGCCTCTTACAGCCCCACATTCAATCTTATATAAATAGTTTTCATTTAATATTGTTAATAGAATGTTTAATATTAAAAATGATGTCACATCCTGCATGCATTCATTCTACCCACATCATTAAGGAAATATCACAATTAATCTTAAGATATCATTTGAAATAATTCACATCTGCCGTTAAAATTGTTAGTCTTAGATGTTGTAGGGGTTCAATCCAAATGATTTATCGTGCGTTCCAGTGGTAGTGGTAAAATCATAATTATCGTACCATATGAAGTTTCTCTGTTCGTTCATTTGCAGGGTAATAGCTCAAATATTTGTTGATGGATTTGGGTCAAATTTAATAGACTGATGCCTAATAGGCATTGGACCTCTGCTCAAGAAAATTATTCATTATGCCACTCAATTCAAAATAACTACAATTTTTGTAAAAACTGTAATATTTAAGATGTCAGTCAACTGATTCAGTTCAAATTTTATAACCCTGATAATTTAAGAACATAAGAGCCCTGCTCAAGAAGGAATATTTAAGATGACGACTACTTTCAAAACGATCACCATTTTTTTCCTGAAAAAATGAAACGATTGATAACTCATTGGTTATAGTATACGGCTTGATCTAAATTTTAAACCCTAATGTCTTGTGGACATATAACCTCTGTTCAAAATGGCCATCATTTTTTTTTACAAAAAATGTACTCTTTTTTTACAGTTTTGTATATAATGATCAGGACTCTGCTCAAGAACGATTTTCAAAATGAATACCTTATTTTATAAAAATGTAATCTTTGATAACTTGAATACCATTTGGTCTATTTGGTTAAAATTCGAAATGGCCAATGTTTTTCATCAAAACAATATCACTTTTGATAACTTTAATACCAGTTATCAGATTTAAAATGGCCACCACCTTTTCATAAAGAAATATAATATTTTGAAATAAAAAAAACAGTTGTCAAATTTCAGATTCAGATTTTATGTGCCTTATAGGCATAGGGCTCGAGAAGTAATTTTCAAGATAGCCATTGAATTATTTTGGGAATTCAAAAACATTGATTTTTAGCTATACTCCAAAGTATGGCATTAGCTGCACTAACTGCCTTTAGGTTTGAAGGACAAAAGTCTGGTATACTTTAAAATAGACCCTCAATTCAAAAGACTAGATGCAAGTAGAAATGATTTTGATTTTCGCAATCATATAACTACTGGCACTTTTGTAATTGCTCTCAATATTGTGACAATACAATAATTTATAATTGTATTTTTTATTTTTATTGCAGATTATTTGAGGCATATAAAACAGTTCAGAAAGTCAACCAAAATCTTGAAGAGAAGCTGCTTTCAATTGTCATCAAGTTTGATGATGAAAAGACTTCACTCCAGAAAGATATCACCGCAATCCAGTCACGCTTGATTGATGCCAAGGTTTCAATATGTGAACTAGAAGAGGAAAATGTATGTCACTAGATTCTGTTAAGATCACATTTATTTCGTATCAAGTTTAACAATAACACCTTTTATTTCTTCAACTTCTTAATCTTTTTAATCTCTGCATGAGGGCATGTTTTGAAATGTGTTACTTGAGATTTCAATGAAATCAGAGATAAGTTTTCCAGAATAACAGAGTTTGGTGATGCCCAGTTTTTGTACAGTGTTAACTTTTTAAGTGCTGCCCCCTTTACAAGAACCTAAATGAAATTCTACATGTACATTGTATATTAAAATATTCCTTAATTACCCAAATGCGAGTAGGTAGTTACCAGTTTCACCACCAGGTGGCTGATTCGGGTCAATTAACATGGCAGGTATATAAGAAAGTTCCCTCAAACTTGAATATTATCAATTTGAGTGGCTCAATTTTCATATAACCCTTATGTGCCTGATACTTATACTAATGAAAATATGTCCAGTAAAGCAAAATATTATCGGTCCACTAAAAGAAAAGATATTTCATTTTTTGTGATTTTATAGCATGGGGTCTATGGGGAATCTCCCCGAGCTAGAAGTCACATTTTCAAAAAAAATCAATTTTTCAAAGTTGATAAACACTTTTTAAAACCACATTTCTAGATGTAATTTTACATGTAGATTTCAAATATGATATTACTTTGACTGAATTTTGAATTTTTAATGACGTAAATCAAGATTATTTCTACTCGCATCTGGGTTATTCCTTTTATAAAATGTTTGAGAAAAAAGAAATGGTATTCATATTTGAAATGGCATTCCAGTAACTTTAGCTTTATCTCAGTGCATCTTATAGTGCATTTAATATGACTCTACATGTATATGAATATATATACCTATGATTTAGAAATATATGACGTTATACTAGCCATTATGTCCCTATCATTGAATATATGCCTGAGGTCTGACGTCAATATAGCCCGAGCTTGCGAGGGTTATATTTACGACGGACCAATTGTCATGGTAAAAAGTTTGGCGGCTATACAGGAATATATAGCCGTCCTTCAGCTCCATTGACTTCCATACAAATGCTTCGCTAGGTATGTAATACATGTATGTATATAACTTATAACATGCCTTTACATGTCTGTTTTAGGAGAAGTATAGAACAGATTGTAACGCAGCAGTCCAGCTACTCCAATGTAAACCTTCAAACTTTGTGGCACACCGCTTGAACACTGTAAGTAGTATATAAACTGGGAGTTTCAATTTCATTAGGAAACATTGTCATTTATGAATTGAGCTAAAGGTCCAAAAATCCCCATAAACTGTTCAATATGGAAATTAAAATTTAGGATGAAAAAACCAATGTGTAAATGTTTAAGGTAAACCACATGATAATGTAAAAAACTGGGAAATGTTGGATGGCAAAGCAAAATGGATTTCAAACCCTCCTCAAAGTTGCTTATCTTGCGCTATATCTAACATCAGCCTTAAAAACCTTTTAAGGTGGTTCGGATGGTCTGTTGGTCATTGTGTGTCTGTGTTCTAATGTTGCCTAGCCTGTAGCATGTTCATTATGCACACATGTACATGTACCAATGACATTGAAAAAGCCTCATATTGGCATCATCAACAATCTAAAGTTTTGAGAAGACCAATCAAGTGGGATCCTCAAGTTGGTCAGACTCCCATTGGCTAAAGGGCATACAAATAAGTTTTAATACACACAAGCCTAACTTAGAAATGAATTGGAAAAATAATGAAATAAAAATGTATAACGTTTCTCATTCTTTTTTTGCAGTTGCCTCTAGATCTACAGGAGCGTGTAAAATCTCATATGACTCGGGAACAAATACTCAACCTTGAAGATGACCCTAGGCAGGTTGAAACTAGAACTATACGTCTTCCAATGCCCACCTTTCCTCCAACAGCTATGGTATATCAGAAAGTGCCTTCACAAAGTGAGGAGATAAGGAACACTGATACAGTTCCAATGACGTTAATAGCCAAAGTATTGACTCATCCATCACCAAAGAGGAAACCACGAAGATTGTATGTTTGTCAAAAATGTAAAGGAGATTTTATGGTGCTCGATAAAGAAGTTCAGACTGTAGTTTCCAATGTTTCAAAATCATCGGAATATCGGGAATTTTACAATATTCACAGGAGTGGACGCACACGGCAGAACTCAATTGAAACAGAGATCTGATAATTTGAATCATGTTGTAAGAAATGTAGAAATGTCATTTTATGCCAACATATTTTATTTTAAAAAAGCTCGCCTGTTTTCAAAATGGCCACCACATCCAAAACTGAAAATAATATTTCAGCCCTGTTAGATCATTACTGACTACTCCATAAATTTGCATGAAATCGTACAAGTACATGTACATGTATATTGTACAAGTATCTGGTTAACAGTAATATCTGCAAGTTTCACACTCTTTGATATGACACAATAGAAAAGCTGGAAAAAAATTAATTTAAATTCAAGGGCAAATATCCGGGACATGTTGTGTCCATATATTGTATTTGTATATTCCTACCTCTGTATTTTCAGGGGTTTGTGTAAATACTATCTGCAAATACAAGAGAAATAAGTATATTTTTCTTAAATAGAAATCAAAGCAATATTCAAATATTAGAAATATAAATATATGTGCAGTTAATGTGATTTGTATATGTCTAAATATCATCATTATAAAAAATAGGGTAAATGTAAACAATTACATGTAGTGCTCTGCTCTTATATTTGCATATCTTCATTTGTTTGTCTTTGGAAGAGACTGTTTCTTAAAGTAGAATCTTTGTTAAATTGCAATCATGGGTTGTGCCTAGGTACATACAGTGATATCCTGAGAGAATATACAATGATGAATAAATAAGGGAAATGTTATGTACAAATACTCACTTTAAAGGAGTCATTATGAGGATCGATCCTTCAATTTCATAGACTCAAGTAGTATATGGCATGACGCGTGAACTGGTGGAAGGATGTTTTAAGCATTAGTGATCTTATCAGTTGTTTGAAAATGTAAAAATAATATATGTTAAATTATCGTATGATCTGTAAAATGAAGCCTTCTGATTGGTCAGTTCTTGTGCTGTACCAATCTGTATTGCTACTGAGATTGTCCCCACTGATCATCTCCATCGCAATACAGAAAATATTGGTACGGAGGGGACATTCTCAGTAGCAATACAGAGGATCACACGATAACAACGTTATAGAATGATTTGAAGTGCAATACAGGATAAATTCTGTCTCGATATTCTGTATTGGCACTCGACTTCGTCTCATTCCAATACGGAATTTCAAGAGCAGAATATATCTTGTATTGCACTTCTAATCATTCAATAACTTATACTATTGCATTTTAGCGTAAGGTCCTGCTTTAAATTGGATCAAAAGTGTACTGAAGTAACACGGGTTTTCTGTTTGAAATTTTAACTTCTATACCATGTAGTAGCTTTGGATAATTAAGGGTTGTAGTTGTATTTACAACACACCATTTGTAACTTGGCCGAGACAAGCACTTATATTCAGAAAATGCATTCTAGAAAATGTGGATTAATTAAAATTCTTTTTTTCAAGTGCAATATACATGTAATCTGTATTAGACAGGTTCCAATTCTAATAATTCAAGTTTTTGAGGCATTTTTTAGAAAAAGCAACAGACCTATTTTTACTCGATCAGTTTTTCATGCTGATAAAGATATTAAAAGATGACAGCTCAACGGGGTGGTCACGACACTGAATTTTGGCATGTTTACCCCCCTAGGAAAATATTCTAGGGGGTACTATGAAACTAGTTCATAACTCAAAGGATATATGAGCTATTGTTCTGAGTTGTATACCATACATTTCTAGTACAAATATGAATACTATCCAAAAGTTATAGGTTGATACCCTTATTGGTCTCAGAAAAAATACAATAAACAGGAAAAAGATACGCAATTTTTGTCTTGCCAATTTTATATTTGTAGCTTCAAGCATAATATGACAGCTTTAACAGCTCATAGTAGTATTCTAAAATCATTTCCAAGCTATATGGGGTATTGTAATATATCTATTTTAGTTATGAAGTACTATTTTGCAATTTTAATATGACTTTATAGTCCCCTACCCCTGGAAAATTGAAGAAAGTGGATGTGGTGAATTTAATCATTTTGCTGCATTAAGTTAGAAAAATGTATTGATAGACACCAAATCAATAAATCTATACCATCATCAAATGTTAGGTGACATTCTAATTCATTTATTACTAGAATATAGGACTTAAGATATTTTATATGTAAGTTTTCAATTTAGTACATGTATCATAATGAAATCTAGTGTAATCACATACTAGAGAGGACATTGACATAAAGTCTAAACATTATAATCATCAATTGATCTCATTTGAGCAACTAGACTATGGTGGTCATCATGCACAAGTAATGTACTACAGTGCCCCATGTACTAGGGCACGAGTCATTTGAGCCATATATACCTCCTGGTATATACCTTTACAACCCATTCAGAAGGGGCATTTACAATGTGCAAAACATGGCAAAAGTTCCGTAAAACTGTTAGTTCTCATCATCTGACCATATAGCAGAGTCCTCATTAAGCCATGATGCATCACAGCCAGATGTTAGAAAAGTAGCTAAGAATCTTTTTATTAACCAAAGATGACTTTCCCACCGATGTTGCATCACACTGTACTGTCAACTGTACATGTTGCTTTCAATTTTGTTTACTCTACATATATCTGATTCTGCATTTAAATACCAAGACTTCAGTTTACTTCAACTGTCATGACTAAAGCATTTGATAGTATTTACATAATAATGTTATAAATGAGCATGTAGGTTATCGCAAACAACTTCAGACCATTGGTCCTTTTTCCATATAGCTTTGAAATCTCGTTAAGGTCTTGTTTTTAATGAGATTTTAGGAGATCTGCATTTTTAACCATTAAAAACTAATGTTTTCTTCCATCTGATGGCATATTTGAATTCTGTGAGTAATTCTCTATCAAAACAACTTTGATTTGCACTGTAATTTACCATTATTCAAATTCTAATGATTTACTGGTTGTCTAAAAAAGGTCGGGCTAAATCCCCATTGACACAATGCTGAAAAACCTTAAAAAGTTCATTTACTCTTCCAAGGATCACAATTTCAATGTGAAATCACAATCCACATGTCAATAAGATCATAAAGTTACATTCCAATGATGTTTTAAGTTGATCCAAATGGAATTACTTCTTAAATCAAGAAATTAAGTGACTCTGGCAATACATTTACATGTATTCTAGCCCTACCCAAGCTCTACCAATACCCATGATGCCCTCTATTTTTCGTTTATATAGAAAAAGGTCAATTCTAACTTGAATTATGAATATTTTCTGACCATGAACATAGGTATATCTTTTAGATCTATTCATTATCTTCAAGAAAAGTAAATATAATGATTAATCAGACCTAAGTGATATTAAAGGGAATGGCCCAATCAACATACTTTTTACTAAAAATGATGACCTAGTTTTTACCAAAGATGCAACCTTTAATTATATTGTTGAATGCATAATTAGAATATGCTTTGAGACATGTTCTTTTTCCTAAGAGGAAAAGTGGATTGCTCCAGGTACTTTAAAGACACTGAATTTGGATGACCAAAATGAACTGAAACCAATGGATAGCATGAATTTTTTCAAAGGGGAAATAACATGGGGAACACTAATCTTAGGGGAATTCAGTTTTCGTTTCAGGAGCTATTTGATATATTAAAATAAAGAATAGTAATGCATGAAACATTGTTAAAATGATTGCATTTTTGGTGAAAATGAGGTCAACAACTTTGAAAAAATATATTGAAGGGTTGATTGCTAGCCTAGTGAAATATCTCCGAGTCCGATTGACTTTATTATCCCAGTATACCTGTCTTCATGGTCAGGAAATAGCCATAATCAAAGATATAACTGTCTGAAATTGTTTGTGATAACTTACCTGAACATTTGCAGGTCAAATCAGGAGTGACACAATTTATTTCCACCAAATTTTTGACATGTCTTCAAATATACGGTAGTATTTTCTTCATAAGATAGAGTGTCACTTGTGAAATTTATTGATTGACCTGAGATCGTATCATATCTTTATGACATAGAAGCGAAATAGCCATATTGAACTTTAATGAATGTTGTTTGCCACTTTTCGACAATTTCGTCAAAATTTGGGGGGTTTGGGGGAGGGGTACAATTAAGTTAAAAAATTCACCTGATTCAGACTATCCTTAAATGAGCACTGATTCACCCGAGAGCATAACTTTCCAAAACATGTTAGTGTTATTTTTGGACCACTCACATTAATGTTTCGTCTAATTTTCCCTCAGAGTTTCCTCATCATTGTCTTATGCCATATTTGTTGAGTAATATGAATGTTCATTATTAAAATCTTGCCTTCCTTTGCAGTTGGAGAAGACTCGGCATTAGGTGTTATAAGTCCTAGACCACGATAAATAAAAAAAAAATAACAACACAATGACATACGTAGAACTGATAAACGTTTTCTCTTGTGCGTGTCAGCCATGGTCTACCAAATTAATTGCTATTCAGTGGGAAGAAACTCATTTTTCAGTCTCCATTTTAATTTCCTGACAAATAGAGCGATCATCCCAGCATTTTTCTATGATCTATATATCTATGTGCCTTAGCAACTTCTGTTTTAGAGAACAATAAAACAATAGAAAAGATTACTTTACCATAATTCTAATCATCCCACATTATAGACATATTTAGAATTAAAAATATGAAGAGAATGACAAAACCTCTTAAAACACATTTCTTAGGAAACAAATAGTGTGGTATTCTTGTTACTATGGCAACAAAGTTTTTTCTTTTTGTAATTTTTGTCATACAGATTACGTATCATACCAGGACCAAATCCTGAAAATTTGAATTCAGTATCCCCTGCAGATTTCATCGGAGTATAAGGAAAATGCTCTGAAGAGGGATGCCCAAGGATGCCACTTAACAGTTCTGGTATTTTTGAGGTCCCAACCCTCTATTCATGGGAATAGTTAACCATTGAAAAGGTATTCATGGTTAACTGACAGAATTGATTGTATCTTCAACTAAGAAGTCAATAAAATGTTAAAACCAGAAGAAAACCACACCAACTTTCTTCTATTTACCAGGGGTAGGGCATTATAAAGTCATATTAAAATTACAAAATAGTACTTCATCACTATAATAGATGTATTACAATATCAAACATAGCTTGGGAATGTTGTTAGAATACTACTTTGAGCTGTTAAAGTTATCATATTTTGCTTGAAGCTACAAATATAAAATAAGCAAGAAAAAAAATGACAAAAATTGCATATTTTTTCTAATTAATTGTATTTTTCCGAAACCAACAAAGATATCAACCTATAACTTTAGGATAGTATTCATCTCTGTACTAACAATGTATGCTGTAGAACTCAGAACAATAGTTTATATATCCTTTGAGTTATGAACTAATATTATAGTACCCCCTAAGATAATTTCCTAGGGGGGTAAAAACGCTAAAATGCAGTGTCGTGACCACCCCGTTGAGCTGTCATATTTTTATATCTTTATCAGCATAAAAAACTGATCCAGAAAAAATAGGTCTGTTGCTTTTTCTAAAAAATGCCTCAAAAAGTCTTTCCCTTGAGATATTCTGAAATTGGAACCTGTCTATATTCCTTCTCACTATGTTTCTCAAGTCACAATTCACAAATACCTGAAGATTTTCATCTTTTATGAAAACACAAAGCCATGTACAATAAAGTAAAATTAACTTTGTGCATTATACTATTCTGCTCCTAATTTTGTCCTTTTTATTGACTCCAATGTAACTTGATTCACGTCATTAAATATTCACAATTTAGTCAAAGTAATATCATATTTGAAATCTACATATTGCATCTAGAAACATGGTTTTGAAATTGTTTTAACTTTGGAAATTTAATTTTCTTTGAAGTATGTATCTCTTTGCAGTAAGTTTATTAACAAGACCCTTTAGTAATGAAGAGGATCACAGTGTTTTGCTTTATTTATTCATCTCTTTCTTTTGTGTAACGGGTTGATGATTGTATTAAAGCACAGACCTATTTATACATTTTAAATTGTAATATAAAATAAAATTATTTTTGTGGAAGCAATTTTATGTTGAATGATTATTCTCACGGCTTTCTATTAGAGTTTAGCATTATAGATTTATGTACATGGAAATATTAATATTGGGCCCCGACAAGTTCTGTATTATGCATGTGATGGAGAGATTTACAACTGGACTAGTTATCACACTTTCAATGAACAAACTTGCATTATTTGCAGTTTTGCAATTTTATTAATAGGTCAATCTATATGTGTGTCACATAATGGTAACTACCATAGTAACTATTTTACTCAATGTTCATTTTAAAATCATTTTCTCATTAAAATTTGAGAAAGAAATACCACTTCGATAATTCAATAAAATAGAGATTCATAGAAGAGAATTTTAAACAAGTTAAATTTCAATCCATAATTTAATTGGATATAGTATTTCCTATAGAGTTCCATTAATAGTACACAGTATGTGACCTTCTATTGCAAAGCGTTGCAATCCTATGATTCGCAAAGCAGGCACTCTCTGACAAACTTCTGCCAGCCTTCTGTATTCTGAAAGAGTTGATGAGCCCCGTGTGTTATCTTCCAGCATTTTTTTTGTATCGTTGAGCCTCAATCATCTTGGTTCCATCCCACACAGGCGCCATATTGAGTATGTTTGGTTGGTTTGGATCAACACTAACGTTACCAATTTGGGAAATAGCACTCGCTGGAATTGTTAGATAGCATATGCCAATCACATATAGACCAACAACAAAACAATTTTACTATTATTCCAGCTTTTTCATAATTTTGGAGTATGAAAGTTAGTTAACCTATTATTATTCCACTGAATGAAGTTCGTGGGGGATATAGGAAAGCCGTCCGTCCATCCGTCCGTCCACCCGTCCGTCCGTTAATTCGTTCGTCTGTCCCGGCAATAACTCAGATACCTTGTGACGGATTTAATTCAAATTTTATAGGCTTATGCCTTATATGTGTAGGACCTCTGCTGGAGAGAGAATTTGCAAAATGGCTGCTCAATTCAAAATGGCAGTAATTTTTCGTAAAAAATGTAATCTTCGATAACTTCAATACTAGTTGATAGATTTAGTTCAAATATGTTGATGGCTTAAGACGAGATCCGCGCATTATACCGAAACCCATTATACTGACGCGCATTATACCGAAACCCATGGTAAGCAAACCCATTATACCGACGCGCATTGTACCGACGCGCATTGTACCGAAAGGCGTTATATCGAATGCCATAATCACTGTTCCACAACTAGTTACTTTGACGGAACGTCAATGTAACAAAATGGATGAACTTCCTTTCCTTCAAGAAAAACAAAACCCATATAGCTCATTAAAACGAGACCTTAACGAGATTTCAAAGTTATATGGAAAAGCCATTATTAGATATAATGCCTTCACTAGGCTATTCTCTGTACTTGTATCCGTGCCTCATTTTGAGTAGCGAGTGTAAATTCTTTTCGGAAACATGATTATGTTTTCCCTGTAATATGAATTGGAGATATCTGACAAAATATGGATAGCCTAAAATATAAATTTTGTGTTTTTGAACATGCGGAAATGTCTTGAACAATTTGAAACTGAAGTACAGTTCCTTAATAGGTTTCTTGTTTCTTGTCAGTTTTCTTGTTTTTGTTCTACACAACACTTATGTTAAATAGCCACGCGTAATTATTAATAAGCGTAATCAGATTATTTCAAGCGTCGAAATAGCTTATTTTCCTCGACGTATCTACACAAACCTATTCAGTTACCGTTATAGTGAGCGATCTAGATGCGTCAATTATAATTGTTTTCACTCTCGGCTTTAGTGGCCCGCGTTACTTTTTATTTCATTCATTTGAGACGCAATTGATATATTGGCAACAAATCAAATGTTCTAAATGATTCTTTTTCTTTTTGGAATGTTTCTCCTACCCGATATTCAAAGATGTGTCTTGAATATTATACTTTACATTGATCACGATTCTTGTACTTTCTGTCTTTACGACTCCCGTTCACATTTGCAAGAGTTTTTGATTGCATTGCCTTGATCGTTGGTCGAACTTCGATTCCAACTAAATCAGATTAATCAATTAAGAAATGTAATATCATGTTTATCCAAGCAAATAATTGTAACAACTACATTATTTTTTTAGCAGTTTTGACACCTAAGCAGGGTAGCCTAGTGGTGTAGACTGAGGCTACTTTGCGGTTGAACGTCGTGGGGTACGGAGGTCCCGCGTTCGAGCCTCAGGTACGGAGTTGTTGATCATTGTCACTACGGACACCCGGTCCGAAGGTCCAACCGTTTACCGGCCCTTGGCATGGGTTGGTTCTCTGGCCGCTCTTGCCAGAGACAGATTGTGAGACTGTGGTTGGTTCCTCCACTAACGTGCTTTAGTAAACTCCGGGAGTCATATAGTATGGTAGCGGGCCCCCACCAAGGGCAGTAGTGGAACGACGCGAATCGGTCCCAGTATGGTTGCCTTGCAACTGAAGAGACTCGAGGAAATCATGCCATTCGCAGTGACCCAGAAAAGACTTTTGCTTCTTAATTTGACGTTTTAATTCATTTATTTACATACTTTATTTATAAATACTTTCCAGGCAGTTATGGTTTTATTGGTCAAATGAATGAACGGACATATATAACACTTGAAAACACAACACACATAGCTGCAATATCCGTAGCATTTGACACAGTCGGTTCCCACGCTCTATCATTTTGTGTGGTCATCATGAGATAAGGAGGTACGGTTGATATGACCATGGGCTTTCAACAGAGTCAAGAAATTGGCATGGATACTTTGAGAAATGAGGTAGCAACAAAAGGAAACACCGGAAATAATCCAGTAATGTCCACACCATTGTTTTCTTTAGTTATGGCAAGGCCCCGGAGGAAAAACAGCATTCGTGGATAGCTTAATTTTTGTACCAATTAGAGCCATGACTTAAACTCAACCAAGAACGGTGGAGCAAAGTCACTATGGGTCACAATTGAGAATCAATTCAAATCAAAAATCAAATTGAGAATCAGATGACCTGCTAAGTCTAGTATTGATTTGCCCCTAAATAGATATTAAAGGGGCGCTGAATATTGGACTTAGTTAATGAGCACCGTTTTAAACTGCCAATTAAAACGTGTATTCAATGTTTCAAAATAATGAAACTGAAAAATTGGGCAAAATCTTTGATATTTCGTTTGTGGAATGAAAACTGATGATAGAGATAATATCAGTAGCCAAAAACTATATAAGCAATTTAAACATGGAAATGCTGCCAATTTAGAAATATTATATGAAAAGAAATGTTTGTGAAATGGTTAGAAAATGAAATAAATTCAGAATTAATGGGATCATTGAGGCACACATTGATAAAAATCACACTTGGATTTGGAAAGATTTAAAGTAAAACAAATGAACGCGTTTCTTACTATATCCATGACAACATATCTTCATAAGAAATGTAAAACTTTATATTTAATAGCACAATTGTTTATTTCTACCAATGAAACAATACAGTATAAATAAATGTTTACTTCATTGAATACAGAATTTACCACGGTTAAATATATTCTATGAAGTACAGGGTTTACCATGATCAAACATAAATAACAGAATTATGACTTTATCCTCTATGAAATACAGAAATTGATGGTTAACTGGAATTCAGTTTGTTGAGACGACCCCTCAATCCGAAACGCCTAGCATCAGTTAAAAAATTTCAGGCCGCAACTGTTCAAAGATTTTAAATTAAGCTTTATCTGAAAATATGTTTTTGCGCGATAAACTTTTAATTGAATATGAATATATAAACAACAGATTAACATCCAGTCTCATATTAAAAAGTTTAAAGTCAAAATATTGTGGAAGTAAATAAAAATGAATTTTAATTTTCAAGACTTGTTTGTTCAATGAAAAAATCATGTATAATTTGAACCAAGGTGTATGATAAAGTAATATATAAACTATCTATTTTATATGCTGGTACAGTAGAATTTCTCTTGGCTTTTCAACATAGCACCATATTTAACTTTTCAGGCTCCACTTTTATTATTCTTTGCCTATACATGTATAATGTTACTGTGCACTGTCATACATGTGCATAATCATGTGTCTACATTACGTTTTGAAAGAGTAAAGAGCTAGATTCAAAGCACCGTTCTTGCGAGTTTCAAATGAAAATATTGAAAATGCATGTATTGAGGACTGCAACTTTTTATTCCCGCTGTAAAGATATAGCCCCACGCGGAAGTGCACGTCATAAAACTGATGGGTTAAGGCAACGTGCCGTCCCACTGGCACGGATTTCGGTACAACGCGCATCGGTAGGCCTTTTCGGCACAATGCGCGTCGGTATAATGGGTTTCGGTATAATGCGCGTCGGTATAATGGGTTTCGGTATAATACGCGTCGGTATAATGAGGTGATCCCCTTAAGACAATGGAGTTTTGCTCAAGAAAAGATTTTCAAGATGGTCGCTGAATTTTAAAATGGCCGCCATTTTTTGTAAAAATGTAATCTTTGATAACTCAAATACCAGTGAACGGATTTGGGTCAAATTTTATATTTTAAGGACAAAGTAGCTCATGTTTGAGAAAGAATTTTCAAGATGGCAGCTGAATTTCAAAATGACCACCATTTTTTGTAAGAGAACATAATCTTTGTTAATTCAAATACCAATTGACAGATTTGGTTCAAATTTTATATGTTGATGCCTAGGGACAAATGAGCTCTGCTCAAGAAGGAATTTTCAAGATGACAGCTGAAATTCCGCCATTATTTCATAAAACAAACTGTTATTTTTGATAAATAAAATAACAGTGTATGTTTGCTTCAAATTGTATATGCTGATACTTCTAAAGAAGGTCTTCTCAAGAAGATGTTTTAAAGATGGCTGCAATTTATCAAAATGGCTGCTATTTGTCATTAAAAAATGTGATATTTGATAACTAAAATACCAGTTGACAGTTTTGGTTCAAATTTTATATGCTGCTACCTCGGGACAAAGGAAATCTGCTCAAGAAAATTTCAAGATGACAACTTATTATTTATAACATTAATATGTTTTGTTCAGTGGGATTTGCTACTGCTTGGAGTTACTGTTTTTCTAGTTTAGGATTGAACTAATCCTTCAATTGACAAGCCCTGCCCCTTCAATAACGCAGATGCGAGTAGGTAGTAACCAGTTTCACCACCAGGTGGCTCGCTCGGGTCAGATAGCATGGCGGGTATAGTAGAAAGTTCCCTTTAACTTAAATTACATCTGTTTTAGTGGTTCAATTTTCATATAACCCTTATGTATCTAATAGTTATGCAAATCAAAATATATCCAGTAAATGAAAATGTTATCTGACCAATACAAGAAAAGATATTTTACTTTTTGTGATTTTGTAACATGGGCTCTATGGAGAATCAACCCGAACTAGAAGTCACACTTTCAAAAATAATTAAATTTTCAAACTTGATAAACAATTTTCGAAACCATATTTCTAGACGTAATTTTACATGTAGATTTCAAATATAACATCGCTTTGACTGGATTTTGAATATTTAATGGCGTAAATCTAGTCAATTGACAAGCCCTGCCGCTTGTTACAGATGCCATGTTATAGATACTGACTGGTGGATGCCGAACACCAACCTCAGTCCACAAAAAAGTTGGAGACCTTAACAAGCACTCGCCCGTCAAGCGAGGGGTCGTGGGTTCGATCCCCACTAGGGGGGACTGACTTTTTCACATCAGCCCTTAGCACAAAATTTCAGTCTGTGTTTTTATAAACAATATACAAAGGCCAGTAACTCTGTAACTTACGAATAAATCCATCTGTCTTTACACCATCTGCATTCGAGAAGCTTACATCAATTGATCCTGAAGAAGTCCTGAATACAACAATCTCTAGATCTTCCACGTCTGCAGCCTCATCAGCATATTTCGTATAGAACATTTCTTGGCCATCCACACTCACATAATTATTGTTGATTTCGAAAGAATCATCGCTGTTCCATGCCAATGATTTCTTTGTGCCATCAATATTGTTTACCACAATGATCCTGTTCTTGCTTACCATGACATTCACATCCGGAGAGAGAATTCCGATATCATGAATCCACATTTCATCTTTGGCTGAATTTGGCTTGTCTGAGCGGAAGTCAATATTCAGTTTGATCCCTACAAGAGTTTTGCATTTGTGTAAATGGTAACTTTGGCTTTCATGGTATTTATCCATCCTCCTAAATGGTTGGGATGGTTTTCAGTCTTATGTGGATATGTTTGGTTAATTACATGTAACAACCACATGTTGAGTGCTATACCACTTAAGCAACAGAGTGAACTGACTCCAATAAAACTTTCAAACCAGTAAACATAGGAAGATATTAAAACTTAAGTAATAAAAAACACAAAATATACATCTTCACTTAATTAGCATCGTTTATTCTATATTCTCATTGTTTATAGTGCCAACAAAGATTGAATCACTGGGATATTATTCAAAAAAACAACATATTTAAATCAGAACTAACAAATAAATTATTTAAGGATTTAAGCCCAGGAATCAGTTCAATGTGGACTGAATCATTTGAATCAAATTTTGCACGAGATGCGCAGCATCGAGTGTGAAGTTTAGGATATCACGTCTGAGTGGAATGAATCAGGCATGCATCAAGTCTTGAGCCTAAATTGTTTTCACATCACAAAATATTTTCTAGAAATCACCTTAAAGATACGAAATCATTAAACAACATATTTTCAATGACACTTTTTGCAAGGGTCAAGTTAGCAAAGCATCAATTTCAATCTTTCAATCTCACATCCTCGTCATTACGAGAAAACCAGTACTAACCTAATTCCATTGCAGCGTACAATTCAATGGTTTCATTCAGGGGCTCTTCTGTCTCGAAACAAAATGTTCTGTTTCGAGATTCAAATGTCACATGTGGGTCTCTTTAACACAACTGTTTCTTTTACTGAAAATATAAGTTTCCAATTTAATGAATCTATTATATAAGATTTGTGTCACATTTCTTAAGTTTCTATTGCCATAAAATGATGGACAATTTTTTTTATAATAAATTTATTTCTGTTCCTTCCATAAACATATCCATACAAAACAGTGCATTTGATACATAATACAATACAGAAATACATGATATAAAAAGATATAATAGGATTCAAAGATAAACATTTATTTGAGGTTCAAGCCATTTAACAAAATGAAGCTCACTATCAATCCTTAAAAATATATGTTTATAATATAAAATATTTCTACATATCATTAAGTTTAGATCAATATAAAATGATGGACAATGATGTTACGTACGTTCCGTCGGCGAGCGTTCAAGTGGCAACCATTAAAAAACTATCTTCTCATCTTAATTTAGACATTGGTCATCTAACAACCGAGAAATTAAACATTACGTAATGTCCAAATACTGTGACAACGCAATTTTACAAATCGAAAAAGGATTTTATCACAGGGTTCAATGAACTGTGGATGGTTTGAGGGGGGGGGGAGCCGAGATAAATAAGTACTTGCATCACTATAAATATGTACGTACAAGTGTGCCAAAGGGTAAGAGCAAAATACGGAACCCAGGATGAAAACAAGTGTATAAAAATCGTAAGAAGCCCCTCCCCTACCATTCAAGTTCCATGATCACAATCCAGAACCATAACACCAAGGGACATTTCATTCATGCATACAATTCATATGATTTTCTTCATTGACTGAAGATTAAATTATTTTTCCGAGTAATCCATCTATGTGTTGTAGTCATACCTTTTCTGGGGATCCATAGCTTGTTGACATTGATTGCAACGAATGGGGACGGATCTGTGGCTTTGTAGGCGTCGAGCTCTTCTTTCCAAATTCCACCATCAACTTCTGATAGTAGAACAAACGTAACCTTATATCTCCTAAAGCAAACGAGACATAGTACTCATCAGTATTTATAAATCAAATATGGTGCATGGTTTTCAAGAAAAATGACAATAAAAAATAGCAATAATTTTGTATTGCATTTTGTAATGGGAGGAGATTGAGAATCTAGAAGATAAATGGTGCAATGCGAAGCCAACACATGAGTTACTCTCTAGAGTGATTAGGTGAGATATGATTGGAGGGGAATACAGTACATAGTATGACCACTAATATTACGATTACCATTCCGCTCTTCCATTTTTTCATGTACTTATTTTTTACTCGATCGGCTAGTGAAGGGTAGAACTAATTCTACACGTTCACGTTCTTTGAAAAAAAGTCCCTATATGGGTCAATTTACGACAAGTGATACATCTATTCTTCTACCTGAGGCATACCGCATGTGTAGTGATAAAAGGATATATGTGTACAATATTGCTTAATTCTTTCTTGCTTTAATTTTGGACAAGAAATAAAGTTTGGGTTTTTGCGGCATATATAATTATATGAACTCTGTTACAGCGCAAACAGTGAATCGATTGCGCTAATTTTTACCAACCTCTAAATAAAATATGTTTGCGATCATCTCCTTAAAGGGCGATGCAAGATATGCGCTATGCATGAAATGAAATACTTAAACTATGCGTATATGTATGATTTATCAAATATATGTATTCTCCAACACACTGGTTTAATTATCATTGTTGATGCTTCATTTTTTTGAAAACTGCGACAAAAGGTGCCTTATACCTTTCAAATTAAAAATATTAGTATTTCTATTTCTAAGTTGTGCTGTCAAATATTTGGTATCCTCCAAACATTAAGATATCAGCTATATTCTCAAGCCTAATTTCGATTTGTATTATTTTGAAAAATGTTATATTAATTCTCAATTATGTCTAATTTGCTATTAAAATGCATGTGTTAAGCATGTATCATCCTCCGATCACAGGGGTTCAAGATCCAGTTCTTTCTCTTAACGAATTCTGGACACCTGCATAGAAGGATGAGCATGTGTCGGAGGATACAAATATTCGACAATCGTATAAGTATAATAAAGCGTGTTCTACTTTATGAGTAAGAAATATCAATTAACCCCTTTTTCAACTTTTAAGCGGCTGTAGAAATGCCCATTTGGCGATTATAATGGGACAATTTTTGAAATAAATAGTATTTATGAAAAATGGTCAAAAATACTCATTGTGTTGGCAACAAAATAGTACTCATTAAATGTTGTTGGTGTCAGCACACATGTCGCTTTCTTTAGTACAATGGCAAAATTAGAATCCGAACACCTGACTAATCCGAACACCTCCCAATTTGAACACATTTTTGGTCCTTTTTTCCTCCCATCAACTCCAATGTTAAAAAACTTGTGAACAGTGAATAGTCATTAAAATAAACCTGTCTAATCTGAACACTTTTCATAAAATGTCACATGTTTAACACAAAATTGCTCAAATATTTGAAAGTTAAACGTCGATTTGTCATGATATCAAAACTTAAAAAAAAAACTTGAATGGTCTCAATCAATCATAATCACGAGGTTTTCCAGCAGGACTAAATTCATTAGAATTGAATTTCCAAATTACCCGAAGCCATAAAGCTATGTTGGCAAAGGGACTACACATATTCATTGAGAATTTGTTCACATTTCTTTAAAATTCAGAATCTCACAAATGCAGAAACCTTAAAATGTGAACACCTCCTAATCCGAAGGCGCTAGCCGGTCCAATGGCGTTCGGATTAGATAGGTTTTAATAGCAATTACCCATTTCGTTGTTTCTTTATTGTTAGGTCTTCATAACTGGAAAGAATGTTTGGGTTCCTTTCAACCATCCAGTCGAGGAAAGACTTTACCTTTAAAACAAATCATTTTTATATCAAAAATAAATTGCTTCTCTACTTTTTAGTTTTTTCTTCTGTTTCTGTACATAATACGTGTTTCGAATACAAAATGAAATCATTCTCGTTGCAGACTCTTTCGAACGAAACGTAATTACTATAGACAAGGTGCATTTTCATCTTGAGGAAATGTGGTAGGCGTTTAGTGTTAAAAGTGTTCTGACAAGTGTTTCTTATGTAACTTTTTATGCTGAATCCAAAAAACCATGTTGGCAAGCTGAAATATGATTATTTAACCCTTAAAATACCATGTTAGTCCCCCTACCCCCAAAATTCACCCCTATCAGGGGGAAAAAATTCGTCAACCTAAAATAACTTTGATTTTATGGTTTTTGTAAGTGAAATACATGGACATTGTATAAAATAAACATTTAAAGTATGAATGATACGGATTACACTTAAGAAATTTGAATAAAAGCAAAAAGTATGTACCCCAGGGGGCAAATTTATGACCCATTTTTTATTTTTCGTGTCATAACTTTTTTATTAGACAATGATGGATGCTAAAAAAATCCATGTAAAAGGCTTAATACCTGGTCTACTAATCCTGCAAGAATCAAAGTAATTCCTTTGATAATTGCCTTGAAAAAAATTAGTGAATTTAAGAAAAAATGACATTTTAGCTGGGACTGATTTATGTGTGACTATAACTGACCCCTATTGCTTTAACATTTATCCCTCTGTGTTCATATATTTGGCATTTTAGAATAAATCTAAAATATTAAACTTATTTTACCTAAGTTTTAGGAAGATTTAAGCTTTCTAGCATGTTCAAATATTAAAAATTCATGAAATATGATGTCTAAAATTGATAAGTTATAGGTATACCCTTGGAAGACCCCTATAATTTCTTATTTATGAACATATTTGTACCAATATTAGTTTTCTAGCTTAGACAAATAATGTATGATATATCCTGGCTTGGCTTTCTGGTGGTTTGAACAATCTTAGGTGTTATCATTGAAAATTCATTCTTAAATCATAGGTCTGCAATCGATTAAATTCAAGTATACCATTAGCCTAGTATCATTCTACTGGTACAGGGTGTCCAAAAAACAGGACCGAAGAAAAGTTAGTTAACTTTGTCAATCCTGCATATTCTGCCTCAAAACTTCAGAATTATTCAGTTCATTCAATATGAATTTTGTTGTGAAAGTTTCATGATAATCTGCCTGTGGAGTCAAAAAACTACAGCACTTTACAACATATGTCCAATGTGGCCACTTCTCCTCTACATGCACAATCAAATCTGGCGAAGGAAGTTGTTCAATTGTCTATGGCGTGACTAAAATCTATCTAGAGAAGTAAAACTAGTGTCAGACAAATTCTCAGATGTTCTTCAATTTTAAGTAGTGTTCATCAGAAGCTTTGCAATCCATGTTGGTATGTGTAGGAGAGTCATCAACAGCTTCGTTGGCTGGAGTGGTGGCCACATGGGGCATGTGTTGTAAAATGCTGTAGTTTTTTACTTTATAAGCAGATTTTCATTAAATGTTCACAACAAAATCCACATTAAATGAAGTAAATAATTCTGAAATATTAAAGCAAAATATGCAAGATTGTCCAAAATAATCAACATGAACAAGCTATGATTTCATAGATTAGTTTGATGTATGACATATTCCGAGCTGACTCTCTGTTTATTTAAACCATCTAAGAGGCTTAATCATTGAAAATCATTACAAATAAAGGTCTAAACAGACAGTATTAAGGTACACTATTAGAATACCCTAATTATTTTCAGGCTTAGAGTTTCTTGGTACCTACTACTGTTTCATAGCTCGGAGGTTTAATATATGATATATCCTGACTAGTTTTTCTGCAGATTTGAACCAATGACAGGTCTAACCATTGATTATACTTCATATACTAGGTCTAAAATTGAAGTACAGTATTCAATAGAACCCTCTATGAAAATTCAAAAAAAGATTCAAAATGACATTAACCTCAACATTAGATCTGAATAAGGATTAAAATCCTTCATAGAGCTGAACAGGGAAGACAAGGCTAACTTCATTCTGGTGTTGATACATGGACCTGGTCCATATCTTGCTATACTTCATCCAAGCCCAAATAAAGGGAAATTAGGAGCTTCATCTCAATGCATTTCAATGCATGATCCCTTATTTCATGACCACCAAAATTATGGAAGGTGTGGCACAGTAAACTTAGAGGAAATGCACTAACTATTAGAATATAGTACCTGCTGCAGTTGAGCGAGGATTCTTGCATTGAACTATGTGGTAAAAGGCTCTACAAATTCAATCAACCAAGTTGATTGACCCCTATGCCAGTATGCTATTGGTTAGAAGGGTGGCAGAATTGTAGGCATAACACAAAGACAATATCTGCATTGAACAGATGGGCACCAGGGTATATTCTTAGGTCACACATGGGGAGTCCAAACAAGAATGATGTTTGGACTTGCGTTTTGAGATTCCATAGAGGGGGGGGGGGTATTAATTTGCAAATCAAAACAAGAATCTATGGATATATAAGCACAAATGTCAAAGGGAAGGGTGACTAAAAACATTAAAGAAACCCAACAAGAAAAGCAAACCGCAAGTGCAAATCTGTCATAAGAAAAGTAGACCCTATATATCCCAAAACCATAATCTAACGTGAAAAGAAACAATGTCTCACATCCCCCTCCCCCCTCCAATCGAGAACCAATATCGCAATCCAGGACCAGAACACCAAGGGACATTTCATTCATACTGAAGTCATTACAATACATGTTGAAGAAAAATTGAAAAAATTGATAGCCAATACTCATAACATCAAAAATAGTTGTAGATACTAGTACTCCTAAAAGATAGAGTATTCAGTCTCTGGAAGAAGATAAAATATGTGACATGCTGCTGAAGTTTGGCATGTTTTCAGAAGATCCATTACTTAATCTCCAAAGTATATGTACAAAAGATGTACTCACAGAAACAATCAACAGGCTCGACAGTTTGGCCAACAACAACTGGATGTCTTTGTGTCTTAGAGGTTGATACCAACAGGGTCAAATGAAAGACACAACATTTCTTGATTTACTGAGCAAGCACCAACTAATCCCAATATAAACGAGCAGAAAGTTGTTAAGGCAGACAGGAATGTTTTGCAGAATCTTATCACTGCATATGAAGCTAACCACAGACCTGTGGGCATCAATGAAATCATGAAACATGAGCTGATGTCTTTTCCAATAGCCCTCTCATTGACGAATGAAACATTTAAGCCAACTCAAATGTACTCTACTCCTTAACTGTTTAACAAATGGTATTGAAATGCCAACCGTAATATTTCCAATATATGATCCTTCTTACAAATTAGCATCAATTGCATCTACATCTGAGGATTTGGCTACAGTCTTCAAGGAAGCAAAACTTCAGCAGTGAAGTGTACTGTGCCTCATCTTGCATACTTTTGGTGGTCATATCTCATGAAAAAGGGGATCATGCATTGAAATACACTGAGATGAAGCTCCCAATTTCCCTTTCTTTGGGCTATGGTGAAGCGTATCGAGATTTGGACCATGTCCTGGACTATGTCCATGTATTACTACCAGAATGAAAGTAATCCTTGTCTTCCTTGTTCAGCTCTATGAGGGATTGTAATTCTGATTTACAAGAGTCATCCGAGATCACATCAATCAGTTGCTTTATTTGATTTCCAGATCCAATGTTATGGTTAATGTCATTCTGAATCTTTTTTTGAATTTCCCATATATGGTCCTATTGGATTTAAATTTCAAAAATTGCTACTCTGCAAAAACTCTCATTAACTGAAACATCCCACTAATTCAAAATGTTGTCAAAGTGAGTATACGCCATTTGTCAAGAATTTGCCAAGAGTAACACAGAAAGGTTAATGGGGACAGTGGGGGGGGGGATTTTTTAATATGTCTTAAGATTGTTCAGGGAAGAAAACTCCATAAAATGAAGATTTGTATGAATCATTGGTACTTTTGCTCTCACGTCATGCAATTGTCAGGCTGCTTAGAATGAAATTAGCCTTGTCTTCCTAGTTCAGCTCTATGAAGAATTGTAATTCTGATTCAGATCCAGTGTTGAGGTTAATGTCATTCTGAATCTTTTTTGAATTTATCATAGAGGGTTCTATTGAATACTTCAATTTTAGACCTAGTATATTAAGTATATTCAATGATTAGACCTGTAAGGTGGTTCAAATCTGCAGAAATACTAGTCAGAATATGTCATATATCAAACCTCCGAGCTATGAGACAGTAGTATGTACCAATATACTCAAAGGCTGGAATTAATAAGGGTGTTCTAATAGTCTACCTTAATACTGTCCGTTTAGGCCTTTATGGTTTTCAATGATTAAGCCTCTTAGATGGTTAAAATCACCAGAAAGTCAGCTTGGAATATGTCATGCATCAAACAACTAATCTATGAAATCATAGCTAGTTCAATTATGCTCAGACCAGTAGAATGATACTAATGGTATACTTGAATTTAATCGATTGCAGACCTATGATTTAAGAATGAATTTTCAATGATAACACTTAAAAGATTGTTCAAACCACCAGAAAGCCAAGCCAGGATATATCATACATCATTTCTCTAAGCTAGAAAACTAATATTGGTACAAATATGTTCATAAATAAGAAATTATAAGGGTCTTCCAAGGGTATACGTATAACTTATCAATTTTAGACATCATATTTCATGAATTTTTAATAGTTGAACATGATAAAAAGTTTAAATCTTCCTAAAACTTTGCTAAAATAAGTTTTATATTTTAGATTTATTCTAAAATGCTAAATATATGAACACAGAGGGATAAATGTTAAAGCAATAGGGGTCAGTTATAGTCACACATAAAATCAGTCCCAGCTAAAATGTCATTTTTTCTTAAATTCACTAATTTTTCTCAAGGCAATTATCAAAGGAATTACTTTGATTCTTGCAGGATTAGTAGACCAGGTATTATGCCTTTTACATGGATTTTTTTAGCATCCATCATTGTCTAATAAAAAAGTTATGACACGAAAAGTAAAAAATGGGTCATAAATTTGCCCCCTGGGGTACATACTTTTTGCTTTTATTCAAATTTCTTAAGTGTAATCCGTATCATTCATACTTCAAATGTTTATTTTATACAGTATCCATGTATTTCACATACAAAAACCATAAAATCAAAGTTATTTTAGGTTGAAGAATTTTTTCCCCCTGATAGGGGTGAATTTTGGGGGTAGGGGGACTAACATGGTATTTTAAGGGTTAAATAATCATATTTCAGCTTGCCAACATGGTTTTTTGGATTCAGCATAAAAAGTTACATAAGAAACACTTGTCAGAACACTTTTAACACTAAACGCCTACCACATTTTACAGAGAGACCTTTTGCAGAAAAGCACCCGGTCTACTAGACTACATTTCAGTTTTAATGATAAGGTTCGTAGTTACCGTTCACGTTTTATAAAGTAGTCACAACATACGAGTAAATATAAATATTTTACCCCCGGAGTTAATTCTTTTTCATTGATTTCATTTTTGACAAGGCAAGCATTAAAGAAATTCCTATAATTATTAATACTAAATACTAAATCTTACTCAAAAGCGAGTTTGAGAAAGCCAGTTGTCCCATAAATTCTTGACAAGCTGCTAATTATCATGATGATTTGTCACGCCCACTCCTTTTTATAGAGTCCATTACACCGTTCATGGGCGATTAACCTCATTTAACCTAAACTTTGCCTCACCTTCCACTTGTGCCTCGCCTCATTCTAAACACTGAATTCTACGATTGTGATTGCTACTAAATGGAATTCCGGGCATAATCGGTTGGCTAGGCTACCAAATTTATTAACAATATTCGAGAATTTTTATATAGCTAATTGTTATTTTGCCATAAGTAATGCAATTATTTGTATCTTTCTGACTTACTTGTCCCAGAGTCTTGTGCCTGCACCAGCACCGCTGCTGCTAGCAGAAAGAATGCTACAATTGTCCTCATCGTTAATCTGAACCAACAACAATTATAATATCAACATATGTGTAACATTTTTAATATTAGCTTGTGCCTGATAATAATGATACATTTCTAAAGTACACCGTTGCCCAAATATCTTGAATATTGGTAACAAAAATCGGCAAATTGTCTCAACTAAAAGAAGTACAAAAGATAATTACAATGAAAGTATGCAAGAATTCTAAAATGTCCAGTAAAAAAACTATTCCAGGAAACCTTTATTAGTCTCAAGAATACGCTCTAGAGTACGCTCTTTTATCAGAATATTCTCTGAGATTGGATTCTGACGGATTTATTCCTGCTGAATGAAAGATATCATTAGTTGTTTAATGTGGTTTGGTTTCTCCCGACCTGTCACTGAAAATCACCTAAGAGGCGGAACAGTTAAGATAGAATGACACCCATGATGACGCCCGTCCGTTTAACGTTTTATTTATGAATTTTTCATGAAAAAAGTTTCACACCGGAATAGCCTGGCAACGGTAAAGTCAGATACCGTTGTCACAAATGGCGGACATAACCGTCGCTTCAATTAGATTTTCATGAACTGTATATGTTTAATAGAGCACCTTGACTAAATTCCTTTGGAATAACAATCAATCAAAGTGTCTTAATACTCATTGTACAGTTAATAATGTTCTATCATCGAAATAAAGTCTTTAATACCGATCAAAATGAGATATGGGACAACGAACACTGTAATTACAATATGCCGTTGTCTTTCTAAATTACTCAAATTCAGATTCCGTAGTCATTGACTATATCGAAGACGCTATATTGTGGCGATTCACGAAAATTGGGATTTCATATGAAACATCATCTCAAGAGCTTAATACATGCACAGAATTAGCGACGATGAAATCCCATGAAATGAGGACCAAGTGATTAAACAGTTGAAGCGACGGTTATGTCCGCGATTTGTGACAAAGGTATCTGACTTTACCGTTGTCGGGCTATTCCGGTGTGAGTTTGTTGAACTTCTTTCTAGTAGAAATCGTACCGTCCCCTCCAACTCATTGTTTTCGTTTTGCAGTCGTGGTCATTGTTACAATTAAATGTAATATCACCCCGATGGAATATAATGTCTGAGACTAACATAGATTTTATGTTAGTCTCAGATAATATTCATTAATCTGCTGTCAAGATTGTCATAGTGTTGTTTAAATAATATTGAATCCCAATCAGAAAATTCAAACAAATTAATTAAATGGAATCATATTAAAATCCACCTTACCTCCTCTTTGCATGTGGTGATTATATAATCTTATGAAGATGTTACGTTTCTTGAAGTTGAGTTGGGTGAACTAAATTATTGATATTTTTTATTTTCAAGGGTTATGTCAAAAATAACAAAATTCGATTTTCCGGTTTGCTTAGATTCCAATTCAAAAAATTGTTTCATGGTCCCTCAAAGGCAATTACAAGATCATGGTAAACGAAAACATATGTTTTACATATTTCAAGTACTAACGTAATTTCTGATGGCTGGAGTCAAAACATCTGGAAAAAACATTCTTGAGCTAGTCACAGTTACACTGTCACGTAATTTTATAGGGCTCGCGGGATAGTCGCAATTGCAAACACCTTTATCCCGTATGAGCACTTTGTAGCACTGAGCCTCGGGACAGTCAGTTTCTCAAACTCACTGTCCCGTAATTTTTTTTTTGCAAACGACGGGATATAATTAATTGAGACCTGACATATCCCGGCGCTGGGTAAAAAAATTTGCTGCGGGATAAAGTGATTTCAGAACTTGACTAATGCTGATCAAAGTATATGCTATCAAGCCATCACACATCTCTATGTAATTACCATACTATATTACCCTTGCAAATAATTTCCATTTTTCATCATTGTACTGAATTATATCAACATCAGTCTTTAATCTTTGAAATGTTGCTAAAGTCTATTGGGAGGGGTGGCATGTACACACTTGATTCATAATGCTATTGTTTGTGTGGGGGGGAGGGGGCATCTCCACACTTGACTCATATCATGGTCTATAAGAATCACAACTGTCACACATCATCATTCCATCTGGTATCATTTAAGTATCTATGAATATGATTTGTAGTATGTACATAAATCCTTGTGCGCCATCTTGTATCATATATTATGCCTATTGTTGTATATGTCTTTTTATTTTTTAATCAGCTAATATATATGTATATAAATCCTGGTGATGTAATGTTGTCATTTCTCAAGCCATCTCATATCATTTATCATCCTAATTGTTCATCTGTCAACAGCTCCTTCCAGTGAATTAAATAAAAGTTGTTTTTTACGATAAATACAGGTGAAGTATTGCGGCAATTCCACATGCAATCTGTTTTTCCATCTATTCCCTGCTGTTATTCCACCATATTCTATCTATATGTTTTTGACATGCTGATTACCCATGCCATACATCCTGAAATAAGCAAATAAGATTTATTTACCAAATATGAACAAAATCGCTCCACTACTTTTCAATTTATAGTTAAAAAAGTAAAAATGGTCGCCATTTTTCAAAATGGTCGTCTACTACCCAAAGTGTCATTAGACAGTGTGCCATGCTTAAAGTATTCACATATAAAATATGAACAAAATCGCTCTACTACTTTTTGAGTTATAGTAAAAAATGTAAAAATGGTCGCCATTTTTCAAAATGGTCGCCTACTACCCAAAGTGTCATTAGACAGTGTGCCATGCTTATAGTATTCACATACCAAATATGAACAAAATCAATTTACAGTTATAAAAGTAAAAATGGTAGCCATTTTTCAAAATGGTCGCCTACTACCCAAAGTGTCATTAGACAGTGTGCCATGCTTATAGTATTCACATATAAAAATATGAACAAAATCGCTCTACTACTTTTTGAGTTATAGTAAAAAATGTAAAAATGGTCGCCATTTTTCAAAATGGTCTCCTCCACCAAAAGTGTTATTAGACAGTGTGCCATGCTTATAGTATTCACATACCAAATATGAACAAAATCGCTCCACTCCTTTTCAATTAATAGTTATAAAAGTAAAAATGGTCGCCTACTACCCAAAGTGTCATTAGACAGTGTGCCATGCTTAAAGTATTCACATATAAAATATGAACAAAATCGCTCTACTACTTTTTGAGTTATAGTAAAAAATGTAAAAATGGTCGCCATTTTTCAAAATGGTCGCCTACTACCCAAAGTGTCATTAGACAGTGTGCCATGCTTATAGTATTCACATATAAAATATGAACAAAATCGCTCTACTACTTTTTGAGTTATAGTAAAAAATGTAAAAATGGTCGCCATTTTTCAAAATGGTCGCCTACTACCCAAAGTGTCATTAGACAGTGTGCCATGCTTATAGTATTCACATACCAAATATGAACAAAATCGCTCCACTACTTTTCAATTTATAGTTATAAAAGTAAAAATGGTCGCCATTTTTCAAAATGGTCGCCTACTACCCAAAGTGTCATTAGACAGTGTGCCATGCTTATAGTATTCACATATAAAAATATGAACAAAATCGCTCTACTACTTTTTGAGTTATAGTAAAAAATGTAAAAATGGTCGCCATTTTTCAAAATGGTCTCCTCCACCAAAAGTGTTATTAGACAGTGTGCCAGGCTTATAGTATTCACATACCAAATATGAACAAAATCGCTCCACTCCTTTTCAATTTATAGTTATAAAAGTAAAAATGGTCGCCATTTTTCAAAATGGTCGCCTACTACCCAAAGTGTCATTAGTCAGTGTGCCATGCTTATAGTATTCACATATAAAATATGAACAAAATCGCTCTACTACTTTTTGAGTTATAGTAAAAAATGTAAAAATGGTCGCCATTTTTCAAAATGGTCGCCTACTACCCAAAGTGTCATTAGACAGTGTGCCATGCTTATAGTATTCACATACCAAATATGAACAAAATCGCTCCACTACTTTTCAATTTATAGTTATAAAAGTAAAAATGGTCGCCATTTTTCAAAATGGTCGCCTACTACCCAAAGTGTCATTAGACAGTGTGCCATGCTTATAGTATTCACATATAAAAATATGAACAAAATCGCTCTACTACTTTTTGAGTTATAGTAAAAAATGTAAAAATGGTCGCCATTTTTCAAAATGGTCTCCTCCACCAAAAGTGTTATTAGACAGTGTGCCAGGCTTATAGTATTCACATACCAAATATGAACAAAATCGCTCCACTACTTTTCAATTTATAGTTATAAAAGTAAAAATGGTCGCCATTTTTCAAAATGGTCGCCTACTACCCAAAGTGTCATTAGTCAGTGTGCCATGCTTATAGTATTCACATATAAAATATGAACAAAATCGCTCTACTACTTTTTGAGTTATAGTAAAAAATGTAAAAATGGTCGCCATTTTTCAAAATGGTCGCCTACTACCCAAAGTGTCATTAGACAGTGTGCCATGCTTATAGTATTCACATACCAAATATGAACAAAATCGCTCCACTACTTTTCAATTTATAGTTATAAAAGTAAAAATGGTCGCCATTTTTCAAAATGGTCGCCTACTACCCAAAGTGTCATTAGACAGTGTGCCATGCTTATAGTATTCACATATAAAAATATGAACAAAATCGCTCTACTACTTTTTGAGTTATAGTAAAAAATGTAAAAATGGTCGCCATTTTTCAAAATGGTCTCCTCCACCAAAAGTGTTATTAGACAGTGTGCCATGCTTATAGTATTCACATACCAAATATGAACAAAATCGCTCCACTCCTTTTCAATTTATAGTTATAAAAGTAAAAATGGTCGCCATTTTTCAAAATGGTTGCCTACTAACCAAAGTGTCATTAGACAGTGTGCCATGCTTATAGTATTCACATACCAAATATGAACAAAATCGCTCCACTACTTTTCGAGTTATAGTAAAATATGTTAAAATGGCGGCCATTTTTCAAAATGGTGGCCATTTTTCAAAATGGCAGCCTTCTACCAAAAGTGTCATTAGACAGTGTGCAATGATTATAGTATCCACATACACTACCAGTCTTAAAAGTTAAGTTCGAACCCTGCATACCAAATATGAACAAAATCGCTCCGCTACGTTTCAAGTTACAGCAAAAATCGTAAAATAACGAGTAAAGGCCGCCATTTTTCAAGATGGCTGTCATTTGCTTCTTTCATATCTACATTCTAGCTTTATTAATGTCCTATATATATTTTTTACATTTGAAACATATTGCTATTACAGTTTTACATATTGCACCTAGATTACTGTAAAATTGGCACTAAAATGGCCGCCATTTTTAAATGAGCAGCCATTTTGAAAATCGACTTTTAAGCAGAATTCTACCCCCATAGGGTATATGTGTACAAAATATGAACAAAATCGGGCCGACGGTATTTGAGTTATTGCCCAGACGGACGGACAGACGTAATAAGATTTGAATAATAAACCATCGAATTTGACTTTTGAAACACTGAAATATGACTTTTGAAACAAATTTTTTAAACCAAATGTTCTTCGAATGCCAGGTGTTTGTAAAAAGCAATAAGCCTTTCAAATTGGGAATTTTTTTGAAATGCCATGTGATCTAAAAATTCACAGGGGCCTAGGATGTTAACTAGAATCAAATAAACAACATATTTCTTTTGTTTTGTACCTAGAGCTGGTCTCAGCCTAGAGTTTTTATTGCAGAATAGACAAAAAGTTTGTGAAATATTCCCAGGAATATTAAACAGGGAAAAACATGTGCATTGGCATTTTGTTCAGTGTGTCAACGGTGGTTTTGACACGATTTACAATTTCAATGTTACCGCAGTCTGAACAGACCCCAGGAGCTGACTTTTCCAAAGCCATCTTCAAATGAATCACACTCAGGGGTATATGGGATGATGTGTTTTTATTCATAAGGTATGTGAGTACATGTTTGTATGCTTGCATTACCCATTTCAAAGTCTGTGTCTGATTTTTAGAAAGCCTTTATTTGCATAATATACATCACTTGGTAATCGTAACAGCTTAAATTAAAATACTGAATTCAGCTGCTTACTTTAGGCTAATATTTCTCCAAATGTTCCTATCATCAGTGGCCATGCTTATATTGTAAATATAAAAGCATGAGTGTATGTACTAACCCATTCTGATAATGCAATCAGGCTTCGCCTCTGTGCATTATGTGTACGGGTTAGTACATACACTCATGCTTTTATATTTACAATATAGAATGATACATGATTCTTTATTCCTTAAAGTACCCGGAGATTTCCCAATGAAGGTGGACAAATGGCTGATTTCCAGGTGTACACATTTTTCATATTTCATCTTATTTATTCGTTACTTTCCATTAAAACCACCATTAATCGGTATAGAGGCAGCTGAATATTTGGTAAAAATAAAGGAAGCAGTTGAATTCAGTATTTCTGTTTCATCGTGAATAATCAGATCAGTCGTGCCTTTGAATAGGTAATAAATGCTTGCATCGCGTTGATCTTACTATTTAATACTATATGCGTATTTGTCATGCATTTACTGAAGTCAAGCCGTTTTTTTTACATGACAGATGTGTCATGACATGACACAGCTGATTGCATCATATTCCAGTCACGCCATTTTACGACATCGCATAATTTTAGCTGATTTTGGGTTCATTTCACTTTATTTGAAAGACCTTTAAAAATATAATAATGAGTCGGTATTTTTCTAAAAAAATATTTATATTCGAATTTGAGGTCAAAGTCCGAAAATTTGATCAACCAATTTGAATCACAATTTAAAGACGTGAAGAAGTGAATAATTACAGGAGCAAACGTGATCAATGGTTCAATAGAAGAACCACCAACTTGAAATGAAAGGCAAAACATCAAAAGAGGAGTGCCGAAAAAATCGTGCACATTTCATTCAGATTTTTTATGCAAATTGCATGTCATGCATTTGTTTTAAATTTTTTGTCTCCCCCGTCGAAATTTGGACCAAGTAGTGTTGTCACGATGTGCGTTTATCGTACATCGATGCATCGGCAATTTTCAGTTAGTAAACATATTTGCACATCACGATGTACATCGAGAAAAAGTCCGAGAAAAGTGCACTGAAATCCTGAATGCTAATGCACTAAAATACCAAACAGAACAAATTAATAAGAATACGCTGGTTAGTGGTCGGACTCGCCTGAAAATCTCCACTCGAGTGGGCCATGAAAAACCACGATTATAATCGCAATTTGACTTAGTTGAGTTACTTCCGGTTTCAGTTTCCGAAGTAGCGGCAGAATTCATCAATTTGATCAAGTCTTTCAAGTGCCTCTATACTTTTTATTGTCTAAATCGTATTGCACATCCCTATAGATCGCTAAAGTTCACCCCTAGTCCCCTATAGATAGTAAAACTTACAGAATAAATAGTGAAAACAAACTTCGTCAATCCAGAAAGTTCCAGGATGCACCGCGGTAGACAAATATTTTAAAATTCCCGGCTGTTGGATATTCCCAGAATGCATCAAACCGGAAATGAAACTTTTGCATAAAAATAACGAACGCAGAATAAAATCCGAGTATGTTTGTCTTCCGCACATGGCATTAAATAGAAAATAAGTTGTTTTCTATACAGATTATAAGCAGAACATTACAACTATAAGCATGGAAATTGCGAATAGGAGAGACGAATCGCGAGTCAAGGTAAGGTGAAAACGAGTGAATAATAATTTTTGGTAAACATTTCAAATCGCGAGTTCAAGTTTTCAACTCGATCAATTGATTTTTAGGACAAATGAGAGTAAAACTCGAGTACACGAGTCAGTCTTCCAACCACTAACGCTGGTACATCCGGGAACTTCTAGTAACGGTGAAATGAAAGTAAAGTAAATTTTTTTTAGATTAATGGTTCATTGCGACTAGCTAAAACAGTGTTAAAGCGAAAGAATATCAGAAAACATTGGAAAATGAAATAAGACATCAGAAAGGTAAGCGATTTGCGTCAAAATAAGATAAGAAAGGGTGATTTTTAGCAAATAAATTTTTTTCAAAAACATCGATGTTTTGTTTCAGACATCGATGCATCGCCAGAATCAGCTTTGGTGATGTACATGTATATCGCGATGTATGGATTAATCGCGACAACACTAGGACCAAGGTGTTTAGATTTGGACCAGGTGTTCACAATTTGAAGGAAGATGTTCAACATTTGTAAGTTACTTATTTAGGTGCTCCCAGGTTGACAGGCCTGTAGATCTATTTGAGACATCCACAAGTTCAAGAAAAGTCCCCAAATTGAAGTTCAAAATTGGAAATGAAAAACAGCAAAGAAATTGACTAGCCTACCTTGGAAGTTTAGTCGTCGTCGTACGACTAATACTGCAGCTCCTATCATGTCTAAGGTAGTGCTTCTTCCCACTGAGTGGATAGTTAACAGTTTTAAATTGTAAAATGTTGAAGAAATACTTTTCAGAAACGTTGAATTTTTGTAGCTATGGGGTAGTCTAGACGTCAAACTATATGTGTAACATAATCTTTCGAAAACAAGAGAGAGAAAAATTAAATGGTGAATAAACCTCCTAATAGAGTCTCTGAGTATCAGTTATGATTTTATATAATTATCAAAAAATAATTTATTGTAAGATTTTTTAGTTGATCTGTTAAAAAGCGAGCCTAAAATGTTAATTCGTTCTGAATGTAACAATTCAAGTTTGACATGCCGAGATCTCTCACGTCCCGCCAGAATGTCTGCGAATATGATCTAGAGATTGATTCAAAGATAGGAATGTTAGGCAGACGGCAGTGTCTAGACGACTAAGTAGCCTACGGTCTAGACTATCTTGTGATACAGACTTTAGTTTTGGGAGTCAGAGAAATATTCAAGTTCTTCAGTGGCAGCCCAGGCAGGCACTTGCATTGCACTTTGAATTTCGCAGCAGGTCTAGGGCCTAGGCTAGATCTAGCCTAACTTGCCTGTAGATCTATAGGCCTATTCTGTGTGGGGGGGGTTAAAGATCCAATTCTTAGCCAAGTTTTGGTAAGTTCACATTTTAGAACTGTGAAAGTGCGGGTCCAGGGGGCTAGTAGATACCCCCCTTGAGTGGGCCCAGAAAAGTTTTCAAGGGCCCCAAAACATATTTGGCCAAAAATTTTTGCTGGGCCTCCAAGACTGGACTTTTGTTTGGCGAAACTTGGACTTCTTGGCCTTTTACAACTGTTTAGGCAATATTATCTATAAATGGGCTTCAAATTTTTTTGTAGAATGTGACTCTGGGCCCCCCTTGTTCATGTTGTTAGCTCCTCGATCTGGCAGTTGGAAAAACTGCATGATTTTGAAATAATCGGCTTTGTATAAAAAAACCTACGTCATACCCACCTACCCACGTATGTTGGACATGATACAGTCTTTGAAGGGTTCTATTTTAAAGATCTTAGTTTGATGAATTATAGATGCATTTGTAACGACCCTTGATAGCAAGTTGCTACAACAGCCCAGCTGGGTTCGATTTTAGCACACTTTCTTTCAATTTCTTTATCTGGCTTATACCCACGGTCGTTAGTTAGTTATTCCCCTGGAATGCCCTCGGTGCATTGTAATGTGACATGACCCGAGGGCGTTCCAGGGGAATAACTAACTAACGACCGTGGGGTAGGTACAGAAATTTTCGAACGGAATGCGTGACATATCCGTAATTCGCGTGAAAAGTCCGAACGAAATGCGTACGTTTTTTTTCGGCGTTCGTATTTTTGCTGTGCAGACGAACTTTTTTTGAAATTTTTCTACAGAAATATTTTTGCGTGACAATTACCAGGTAAAATGCGTATTTGCGTGACATTTTCTGTCACGCAAAAATAACTGGCGTGACTTCGAATTCTTCAGCAAATGCGTGACAAATACGCAAATTGCGGGACAGTTGACAGGCCTGTGTTATGTCTCACGTAGGTGGGTATGAGGTAGGAGATTTTTTATACAAAGCCGAAATAATCAATTTTCTGCCAAGGCAAGGGGATTGTCTTTAGAAGAGAGTGTGAATCACAGTCTGGTGAGAAGATATGTTTTGTAAAATGTGTAAAAAATGAGAAAATTCAGTGACAGAAGGTCAATTTTCTCACTAAATTTTCTCCTTTTTATACATTTTACAAAAAAATCTTCTTTAAAGTCTTTTCTAGGTACATAAGTGCACTCTTTGTGCTAAACTGAAAGATGTGGACAATGTTGAGAAGTGATTCCTAATTTTAAAAATAACATGCGACTCAATTTAGGACAGCAGCAAAATTCTAAACATGCAAAAAATGTATAAATGTGGAATAAAACATCGAATGCTGATGTGTGATTAAAGGATTTAAGCCCAAGACTCAATGCATTGTTTGCTGAATCATACAAGTGTTGTTCCCAAACCTTTGCATGACTGCGCAGTGGGAATGCAAAGATTAGGAAACAACTCTTGAGTGGAATGAAGCAGCTACAATGCATTGAGTCTTGGGTTTAAATTCTTTTCACACATTGCAATTTTTTATAAAAACATCTCACAGGAATTAAATTAGTAAAAAGAACACATTTTCAATGAAAAGTTCTTTGCAAGGGTCGAGTTGGCAAGTCATCAAATCCATTGTGAAAAATCAATTCATCACCATGAAAACTGTTTAACTAGTGACCTTGCATGTTTTATTGATATTTCACACACTGTTCATTATGTGAATACTCTGTTCGGATTTGCTGGAATCGGACACAGCTTGCCTAGCTATGTGTGAATATTGGATTAAATCATATTTATTGGAAATATTACATTTAGCATTTTATGCCAAGTATTCGCGGGTTTATTTCTGTTTGTAGCTAATAGGGGGATTAACACCAGAGTTCAAAGATGACATATGCTTATAATGAAAACCTGTACTGAGATGACATACACCTCTGATTGGTCCAAATCGATAAACAAAAATGGCGATTTCAAAATTTTCTAATAACACTTCGAATAATATTATGTTGATTCCTGGCGTATTAACCAATACCATAGCTTGGTTTTTCACATCAAGATAAAGAAATATGTAAAGATTATGTTTACATCGATTTAAACATCATGACAACGCGCTATGTTCGAAAATTAACTTGTGAGAATTTGCGCAAACGAAGGTGGTATGCAAGAAACATATTATGTCAGTCATCGCTGAAGCTCTGGGGCTTTCCCCCCCCCCTTTTTGTAGCTCTTGAAATTACAAAACAAATATACTGTAAAATATGAGTTTGTGCTTGTTTGTGTTCCACATTTCATGTTACATCATAAATGAAATGAAACATCTAACCAAACCTCATTGAAACAAAACCACATAAACGTGTTAGGTGTTTAGGTGTTTAGGTCAATGGTGTAATTGTACAAAGGAAAGATTGGTTGATTTTTAAAAAGTATCTTGTTAATGAAATAAAAGGTTTATCTTAATTTTAATCTATTTTTTTGGGGGGGGGGTTGTTTTAATTTTTTGAATACTCTTTGTTAAATCAACCAAAATCTCCTTTGTATAACTATAATATTGAGAGGTTTAAGAAAATGTTGTATGTGCTATTTTGTTCCAACAAGGTTCGGAAAGACATTTTATTTCATTCTCAAGAATTGGTAGAAAGGAACAAAAAACAATTGCACTAAAAAACAATTGTTAACAAAAACAGTTATATGAAATATATTTAAGTAGTTTTTGCATTAAATTGTTGTCAATCAGTCAACATTACATAAAGGACCGTGTTTTCTACATAATGTTTTCAATAATGTAATTAGTTGAAGAGAAAAACATTGTTGAATTCAGTTCACCTTATCGATACCTATCCTTTACACCAAACAGGAAATTAAAAAAGCATGAGGATTTTTTAATCTTTTTGAATTGTTATAAAAGAGTTCTGTTTTGACCTTTAGTCCATTTTTCTTACAGACAGAGCCTAAGGATGAAGTATCAGCCTGAGAGACTTGCTGTGATCTAAAGATAAAAGAGATTGAAAGATAAGAAGAATAACCAGTGTCTAGACGACTACAACAGTTCTATTGCTACTTTCAGAAATCTTCATGTTCAATGGCAGGCCTTGTACGTTTGCAGGTAACTTGATTATCCCTGACCCCTGGGGAGGGTGATTACTAGTATTATGAGTAGTAATAGTAGGTCCAGGGGCTTAGCCAGTTTTCAGGCAGGGGGGGGGTGCGATCGTGGCATAAAGCAAGCCAATTTGTGTCTAAGAATTTTTCAAAATTGATGCAACTTGAGCTAGAAAATCATAAAAAGCATTTTAAAGTTATTTTCTTCTTTTATCTCATGATTCTATTTTTATTGGTTATGGGTTTGATTATACTCCCCTGGCAACGCCTATGGTCCAATAGACGCGATAGTTCAGAGTGACAGCAATATTCTACATCAAGCTCAACTTCCGGGTACAGATTTTTTATACATCTGGGTAATAAATTAATACAGGGTCCCATTTTAAACACATCATTTCAGCTTTATTTGACATTCTTCTTCACATGTATTTGCACAAACGATAAAAATACATCATATGAAATGCATTTTCACAAATATTTTCCGGACCAGACGATAATCATCGAATGTTTTATCATGAAGTCATGACTACGTTCCTGGAAACTGAGACCAGATGTCTCGGTGTGAAACAAGAAGCAAGTTCTCATGTATATAACATTGGCTTGATTTCATGTTTGTATATGTTTGACTTGTATAAATTGTAAGGGTTGTAACTTGATAATAGTATAAACTTTATATCATGTGACTGAGACAATTACCAATTATGCATGCATATGATTGCTCATTAATGATCATTGTATACCCTGCAGGCCCGTAGCCAGGATTTACCTAGGGGGAGTGGTTTTACCAAAGGGGACTTTTTTTCTAGGCAGGGGGGAGCTTTTTGACAGTTTTGGCAAAAAATCTTGCGAAAAGTGCTCAGAATAGTGAACAAGAAAAAACTATATGATTTTAAAAGAATTTCTGCCTGGAGTGGAGCTGCCCCTCCCTCCGCTCCCACCCCCTGCTCCCACCCCCTGGCTACGGGCCTGCTCTGCTTGTTTATTAATTATTATTAGACATATGCTGATGCATTTTGTATTATCTGCTTCAGGATGAGCAAGGATGGAAAAAGTGGGATGGTGCAGTAAGAATGTATAATCCAGTTTTTCAACACACGACTTTATCACAGAGAGTCAGACTGATTTATTTTTCAAACAACAGACAGAGGTAAGGGCCCTAAATTTTGATGACTTATTATCAGACACTTGGGTGCTAAATAGTAATCAGTTTGCTGGTCAATGCATAGGCCGTTGGGCAGTCATCCCGATAAATCTTGTCTAGGCTACAGATTTCAAGCCAAATCAGTCAATTCAGCTAATCAGTTTAGGACTGATTACT